TCTGTGGTTTTGGCCGAGCTGTCGCATGGATTTGCGCGGTGAACACGCTCCTGGATCGTTCGAGAATATTTTGGGGTTTACACGGGAACGGCTGAATTCCGCTGCTCAAGAGAGGATGGCTGAATTCCATTGGCCCAAGAGAGGTAGATCTGTAAATACGCTACCAGAAGCAACGCATGCCGAAACTCTGAAACCTGAACGCTCGATACACGCAATCCTGACCCTTGCAGCCTGAACCTTAGATGCCTATCAGCTCTATACAGAAGACGACTCTCCACATCATTATCATTGAAGATGACATATCTGGCAACAAAGCCCTAAAGATCCATGTAACCACATAGTAGATACTTAGGCCTTTAAGGTGTTCCGGAATAGATACTTTATGGCCTAAATATAAACTATTTAGGTATCTGGAGCCCTGGGGCAAGATATTGGAGCTGGGGCGCTGCTTCCAGCGAGCTGTCTGTCTGGCTCCGGCCTGCTTGGGAGTGGAAGGTTTAGACGTTTAGAACTGAGGCTTGTGATCCCAACAACCCCACTATTGCACCCTACAAGGCCTTCCTTGTTCGGGTCCCGATTATCTTTCCTGACATTTAAGTCCATAAACAGATGGGTTCTTTAGGGTCCAGGTAAACCCTAAGCAACCATAAACCCACGGAAATGGTCCTTACAGCCAGGATTCGACTACGAAGGGTCTACAGTAGGGGGTAACCCGGGGGACATGGGTTTCTTGGCTTCTGCTGTTTCGACGAAGATTTACAAAGGCATTGTGTGTGTGTGTGTGTGTGTCTTCGATGCTTGCGCTCTTTAAGAGATGATAGCATAGGGCATAGGGGCCTGAAGCATTGGAAGGGAGTCTGTCCGGGGCTATCTTGCAGCAGAGTCTGGTGTACCCTAAACCCCTAAACCCGAAACCCCCCATCTAGAGACTGGAAGGGCTTGTGCCACACGTATCCCTGCCCTGCCCTGCCATGGGTTGAGGGTCTAGGGTGTAGGGTTCTAAAAACCATGTACACATATAGTATATACTTTGGACGTTTCGTCATCCCTATGTAGACACTTCAGGGCCCAAGTACATCCTATACTTGGGTTCATGTACCCCTGGGGTGATCTCACCCCACGCTTGCACTCCGCCCCTTTCGCCTTCAGTTTGTGCCGATTTGGTGGATCCATCTCGCCTGATCATCTCTTCGCTTAAGTTGTCCAGCACGCTGGCTGGCCGGACCCTCTTGCAAAATTCCCGCCAGCCTTTCCACAAGCGGTTCACTCGCGTGGCCTTTTTGTTGCCAGGCAGGATCTTTGCAGCAATGGCCAGCCAAAAACGGTTGCCCAGGATGTCGGCCCCCATGCCTAAATCGATTGTATGCAACCAGTCTAACACCACCATCGTCACGGCGAAAACTGAACATCGCTGATACCCTGTTTTCGCCATTCGGCGCAATTGCGATAAGACAACGCATCATCCTTGGGATCGGCAGTATGGGCCCTGCATCGCCAGCACATCTCGTGGCGATTCCGAACCGGGAACTGCAAGACCTGTCTCAGGAGAGGCCAATCACCACGAACCGGCGGCAAGACAGTGAAGGACTGGATCTGGATCTGAGCTGCTAAACCCGAACACCCAATCATAAGGTGCTCACGAAACATCACCCGAAGTGACAGTAGCAAGGTCGGTTACAAGAAAGATGACAGGAAAGACCGTAGGTCAGTAAAGGGGGACCCTATATCGCTAGTTCCGGGGATATGCCTTCACTTATGGAGTGGGTCGTATTGCTGTTAAGGTCTATTCATCAGTTAACCCTAAACCCCTCAACACCAAACCCTAAAACCCTAAATCCTAAACCCTAAGCCCCTAACCCCGTAACCCTAAACCCCCCAACCCCTAAACCCAAAAACCCTAAACCCCTAACCCCAAACCCTAAACCCCTAAACCTCTAAACCCTAACCCCCTAAACCCCTAAACCCTGAGTATATTCCTCAATGAAGGCATCCTGGCAGCTCTTGGGGGTGCCGGCCTGGTCCAGAGGGCTTCTTTGCATCCTGCTGGGAAGGAGACAAAGGTCCCTCTTGGGTTTACCTGGACACCCAAAGTATGCAGAATAATAGCCGTTTATAGGCCTTGGGCCATTATTTTACCTTTACAGCTCAGGTCAGCTGACATACGTAGCTCACTTCCGGCTGTCCTCTCCAAATCCCCTGACACTTATAACCCAGAGGGTCCATATCTACTACCATTATGGAGTTAGGTCCCAAAAGACCATCCCTATTATGGCTTTGGGGGCCTAATTCCATACTGGTAGGTATATATGGACCCTCTGGGTAACCCTTCTGACTGGCCCCCGCAGCCCGCTGCTCGGTTCGTAAAAAAGAAACTACGACCAAACTGCCAAGCGTAGCTATCAGTAACAGACTCAGAACATGGGGACCTTAAGAATTACAATAGAGTTTTGGGGTATGTTATAAGATAATTACAAGAAGGATCCCCCAAAATAGTATAGGTAATTATTCTGGCCCCTATAGTATTCGGATCCTTGTGCAAACCCAACCGCCCACTCCAGAGCAAGGGGTCGCCAACTGGCTCGGACACTCCTACCCTAACGCTCCAGTTACCTAAACACTGGTTTGTACATGATATACGGCTAGTAACCTACTATTTCGGCAACTGGACCAGCCCTAGGCTCCTAGGCTATATGCCCCAAAAGCCCCAACTCCTACAGCCCAGACCGTTTCTCCACCCTGACTTAACCTGTTCGCCTTGCTTGCAGGTTCATGGGTACCGGCTGGGCACCCCGAAAACAAGACACTAGCGCCCCGAAGATGCGATACCAAACAAGTAAGTCAAGCAAGCACGAAGCAGAAAAATCTCGTCAGCCTGGACCGGATGCCCCAATCAAACTGAGGGGCTTCAACATCATCGGATCTACCCGGGCAAAGTCTGAAGCCAGACAGTTTAGCTCCAACACTGTACCTATCGACTTGATTCACGTGCAATCGGCCCCAAACAGACACGGAAGCGTCACAGCTACGTTGTAGCTCCAAGCCCTCAGCTCTCGCAGAAAAGTCTACAGTCTGAACATTCAAGCCTGAAACTGAAATGCCTGGCCTGAACTTTCCCAAAACGCTAGAGCAACAAGGTGCAAGCACAACCACAACGACAACATCATAAAACAACGACCGACCTTCGATGTAACCCCGATAGGTCATCAGGAACGCCTACAGGTTCCTTTAGGGATCCCTTGAAGGACCAGTAGGAGATGCTTTAAGTATTAGGTAGAAAGCTTCTGTAAGAGCTTCAGGGTTTAGAGTTTAACGGTCCACGTACTCATCTGGTACTTATTTTGCCACTAATTTAATCCAGTTTACAGACTTTAGGAGCCACGTATTGATCCTTTAAAGGAGCCCTTAAAGGGACCCCCACAGATCATCAGTCCTGAACCACCCTTGTCCTTTTAGAAACAATAGACAGAGCCCTATACCTATATCCCTTAGTAGGAATTATTTGAAAAGGTCTACTAGCCGGTCTGTTAATTCCTTTGAGGGAACCATGAAAAAGGACAAGGCTGTCCTGAACCACATAGTCCGGCAGATCCTTTCTCTTCACGTCTCGGACCTCTGTTTTTGTGGTGTTTAGGCTTAAGTTAGCATAAGGTTCCCTGAAAGTGTGACTATAAGGGTTCTATAATTCTATAAGGCATAAAGTTCCTGAAAGTGCGACTATAAGGGTTCTATAGGGTTTCCTAGCGTGTGACTATAAGGGTTCTATGGGGTTCACATCTCGGACCTCTAAGCATGTGCCGCCGAAGCAGGTGTGGAAGCACCGAAAAAGGCTTTGGAGGATGTAGGGTTGAGGCTTTGGGGCGGAGGGGGTGGGGGCGGGTCGTTTCCTGTACCATGGCACAAGTATACGGCCAGCACTGTAACTATCATAGAGTGATACGCCGAGCTGCCCGCGTGCTTCTGAGAATGATGACCCTTCTTACTCAATCCCAATTCTTTGCTTCTTGGGAAATCTTGCGCTCCTTGTCCCACGGTTCAACTCTAACTCTACATAGCTTACCGTTGCTTAGTAGGAAATGGAGGAATGGGGTACAATTATAACTACTATTACTACCATTCTTCCACTCCCTACTAACTAAAGGTATGATAGAACTTCATTCAGGGTCACATTCCCAGCACCATTGTCTTGGACTTGAGGATCGAGAGGGTCCGTATGCACGTAAAGTCTATGCTGAGGTGCTAGAGTGCCTAATTGTGGCGTGCAATAAGGCCACAGTGTAGACTATCTGAACACCTTTACCTTTACCTTTGGGGGAATGACGCAGCTAATAGTGAGCGGGGTGACCCTAGAGTCTAGAGGCTTACAGTGATGCTACTTGTTCGAAGTACTGAAGAACCCTTAAACTGCCCTCAACAGCCCCAAACCATGTAATTGCAGCCTGAACGTCTTATTCTTAGCCGCACATTGCCGGTATTGCCAGCATGGCGGCTACGCAGACCCCCGGGAGGCTCCAGAAAGTAGAATCCGTAACTTGGGACCCAATGCTACTGAAGGGGCTCTTTATAGAGCCACCTTGAGGGATCCACAGAGGAGTCTGGGTAATGTAGGGGCCTTAATAATTAGAATAGGGTTTTGGGGCCCATTATACTATAATCATAATAAGGAACCCCCACCATAATATTGGTAATTATTTAGGCCCCTATATTATTGCCGCCTGGTGCAGGAAGCCTGGCGGGTCGGTAAGCGTTGTGCCGCCAGTTGCGACAACGACGGCAAGCTGAGGGATGTCGCTTCGGTGGCTCAAACCAGTTACATGAACTTCTCATTACATGAACTTCTCATTACATGAACTTCTCATTACATGAACTTCTCATTCTGTAGCAGATAAAGGATCTACACTCCTCATTCTACGCTGCTCTGACTCATCATGCTCGAATTCGTGTTCCTCCCAATCTGATCGACGAGACCATGGAGATTCTGAAAACAATACAAAACTGGCAGCTTAAAGCCCCCCAAACCCGATTCTAATCGTTAAGGGCCCGATATTCGTATCGCCATTCTTCACCTCATTTTCTTGCTGATCTGCCGCACCCTCGGTCTCCAGCAATCGCTGGACTTCATCGTGTTGCCTTGCTTTAGCCATCATTCGTGCAGTGAGGCCTAAATCGTCGCACAAATCCTTGTCAACACCAGATTCCAGAAGCAACTGAACGACTTGAGCATGGCCGTTGATTGCAGCATCCATCAGCGCGGTGCGGCCACGATTGTTTCGCAAATCCTTTTGAGCACCTGCCTCCATCAGCAACTGCACGACGCAATACCGACCGTAGGAGGCTGCGTCCGTGAGCGCGGCGCCACCGTAGTTGTTGCACAGATCCTAGGTTGTTCCATATCCCAGTGAAGAAGAGTGTATGAATGTGAGGTAGCTGCATTATTAATCAGTATCATAGGGTTCTGGAACAAAAAAAGAAGGTTTTACCACCGAACAGCCTAGAATCCACCTGAGCACGAGCTTCTAAGAGAAGCTCTACGACCCCAATGTGGCCCCTCTCAGATGCATGCATCAGCGCTGTACGACCGAAAGCATCGACTGCGGCATCCGGGTCTCTGGGAAGCTGTAGCAGAGTTTCAACCTTCGGGCTCACACTGATAAGCTCGGAGGAGGGCAGGACGGGGATTTTGCAGATCCGGTTGACGGAGAGTTTCGGGAAAAACCCTAAAACTTTAACACCTAAATCCGTAAACCTACACGACCTACCCCCCTAAACCCCTAAGTCAGGATTTCTGGAGGTGTCATCACTTGTGTGCAAAACGGAATATCCGGCCTCGTCTAATCCACCGGAGCGAGCCGCTTGGTACAGCTCCTTCTGCTGCCTCTTTGAAGCTGGGGAGAATGGCAATATCAAAACCTGCACATCCATCGCGGTCCCCGGTGAGTCATCCGAATTCTCGTGCTCCTGAGAAAGTTTTTGCCTGCATGGTGGTGGTAGGCCGTCCCCAGGATCCAGCTGCCGCTTCAAAGCCGCGTCGCCCACGGATTGTTGCTCAGACGTTGCAGGGGATCTTTGTTTCGATTCGGACTCCTCGTAAAACGTCACAGAAGCAGCCTTAAGATCCAAAATGGAGTCCAATCTGAATGCGTCATCTAAGGTGTTGCCCCTGTAGAGAAGTCGTTGCCTGAAGCGCGGCGGCAGGCCGTGCTGCAGATGCAGTCGCTGCTTCAAGAACTTCACATCGCTCAGCTCGAAGAGCGGAATCGTCGCAACCTGGCTTTGCTCATTTCATTGGTGCAATTACCCTAAGGGTCCATGTACCCAAATAGTATATACATTGGGTACATGGACCCTTAGGGTTAGGGTTAGGCTTCCGTAAGGGCTTGACAACGATGCTTGGATCCTTGAAGCTTTTACACGTACTCGTGCTGTCTCACACAAACAGCACTACCCTAGGAAAGTAAAGTAGCTTGCCAAAAAAACAGATACAAGTATATATACATGCAAACAAAGAAGCATACATGCATACATAGATACATGCGCACACACATGCATACATACATGCATACAAACATACATATATAAATGAACAAGTCCATACGTACACACATGCATACATCATACATGCATACAGGCATCCATGTATACATGCATGCATACACACATGCACACATGCTTACATGCATACGGTCATACGTATAAATACAGACATACACAGATACATGCATAGATCGTATACCCGCACTCAACAAGAACCCACCTCTTCCCCCGAGAGCAGCGTGATGCATAGCATACCGGCCGAGTCGCACGGCACATAGCATGTTGCTGCATGTTTGGGACGCCAAAGGCTGAAGCTCAAGTGCTTGGTTTTGGCGGCCATGGTCTTTGTCAGATGAGGATTCCAGGAACCGAGTCATGATTTCTGAATGACATGAGTTGGCAAGAGCTCTGAAGCTCTTTTAGGGATAAGAGCCGGAACGCAAGGGCGACGGTTTATGCAGAGATAGTGGCGAGGCTTTTGATTTCACAGTAGTGTCTTAGCCAAAGCTCAAGCAGCCTCACTCGAAATCTTTCAGACCCTCAGCCGCCCTGCATCATATGTCCACATCGACTGTCTGAACAACGGGAACATCAGAGAACCCGAGCCTAAACCCTCAAAGCCCCAGAAATTCTGGACCCCAAATCATGTAAACTGATTAGTTATTATGACGTTCCAAGGACCATCATTTGGGGTTGCAGCTAGCCATCATAAAAGCTACAGTTGCTCTCGCTACCCAAGAAATATATGTAGCCCTCTTCCTCGCAAGTTACGTCATCCTTGACGATAGCCCTAAATCCTAAACCCTCAACCTTACACCCCAAACCCCGTTCCTCAAACCCCGAGCCTTGAACCTGCATCCCGACCCCCTCGAAATAACATAGGGGCCTTCGTATTGGGAACCGTGCCATGATACTATGTTTATAATAAGAAGCCCCCCAAAATAACAGTATAGGTTAGGTACGGCCCCCATACAGTGAGAGTCTATAATAGGGCTACTATTGAGGTCCTACTATATCTATATTACGAGTATTATTCAACTATTACTGAGTGGGGGCCGTACCTAAAGTATAGGTAGTTCTTAAGCCTCCTATACCCCAAGGCTCAAAAAAGCCCAGCAGACTCATGTAGTATGGTCGGTTTAGGGTTCAGGGTTTAGGGTTTAGGGTAGCCCAGCAGCCTCATGTAGTAGTTGTTGGGCCCAAAAGCCTTGTAATATGAGTCCTTAGATCCCTAGGGTTATAGTCACCCTTAAGGAACCCTAATAAGTCCCATGGATCCTCGGAACCCTGAACCCTTATAAAGGGAACTCCAGAAAGTTGGAATATGGTTTCAAGGTAGGATACCTCGTAATTTACCATAAGGGGTTTAGGATAATCATATTCCAACTTTCTGGCTTTTACTTTAAGCCTTTGGGATAGTAAACACCGAGGCAAAGGCCCGCATCTCACACTGACCGGAGTGCTGCGACTTGTCCGGCCTCAGCCCAGAAGGTCTCGCAGATCTTCATAGAATCAGGAGTTTCCCCCTAAATTAGGGTTCCTTGAAAGGAATCTATAAGGGTTCCTTAAAAGGGATTTCAGGGTAGTTTAGGGTTTAGGAGTTAGGATTAGAAGGGACCCTTGGGGATATAGACCCTCAATAAGGTACCCTTTTAAGAAGGCGAGAAGCAGGGTTAAGAAGGTCTCACAGATGTTCACATCTGGAGGCTCGGCCCTCCCCTGTTTTCAGGGTACCTATAGTTCTTTAGCTAGGGCCTGTTATTATATATTGTAGATAAATAGGTACACTTACAAAAGGGGTAGGGCATTAGTATGCGTTGGGCTTCGTGGATGTTTATAGCTCAGAGGGTCCAGATATGGGCGTTTCCGAAAATGGGGGACCCTAATATAGTACCCTACATAGTAGGATCCTTATAAAAAGGACCCCAAAATAAGGTACCCCGAATTTTCGGAAACTCCCAAACCAGATCCCTTATAGGAACCCTTACAGAAACCCTTATAGATCCCTTGAAAGCTACCCCTATGTAATTTTCGGAAATCCCATATACTACTATCGACATAACGCCTAGAACCTCATGCAGGACCTCTTGGAGATTCGCTGGTTTCGATCCCAAGGGGTGCAGCGGTTGATGATATAAATCCTGCATGACCCATAATAAGGAATATACCTAGTTTAGTGTCCTTAAGGTAATGCAGGATGTATATCATCAACAGAAGTACCCAAATTATAAGGTTTGCAGTCCCAAATCCTACACTCTACATGGTTTTGGTACCTACAACAGTACATTTGGGTACTTGGACAGTTGAGGAATGGACGTAAGTTAGGTAGCTGTTCTAAGTATAGGTTTAAGGTCACTTCAGAAGTCCCCTGATACCTTAAGTATCCCTTCAACCTTGGACCCTAGACCGTTTTGAAACCCTGATGAAACCTTGAAAAGGAGCTCAAGCCACATAAATCCAAACATGTGTATGAATATACAAACCTATATAATCGGCAAACATACAAACATACTCATTTGTGTGTATATATATATGCATACATAAAACATATACATATATACACAGACAGACATACGTACGCATACACTCCTCCATGCATGCATATGAATTATGTCTGCCCAAAACAAAAGCAAATAACTTAACATGTACATGTACATGTAAATATAGAAACATATACACACGGTATATACATATATTGTGTTTCTCACGAGGACCGTGCCAGCTATTGATGATTTCGACGAAGTGGGTGACGGTTTTTCGAAGGTCCACCTGGCTCACTGCAAACTTCTTGGGCTCCGAAGCCCTCTGGCAAGTCATGCAAGGGCTCAGTGATGGAGATACGGCCTTGGGGTGTATATTATGCTACAACACCAATAAAAACAATAAACCCTAAGCAATGGTATTACTAGTGACAGAGGCTCCTATACTACAGGTGTTACAGGTGATGATTGAGGAACTCATGCCGGGTTTCCCACGTTTTCTCACTTCGAATCTATGCCGGAGCTGCCCGAACCTGAACCAGCCTTACTCCAGCCAAGCTACTAAACCCTAGTCGAAACCCTGAACCCTAAACCGTTTAGGCTTTAGGGTTTAGGGCCCCAAACTCTGGCACAAAGGAAGGCTTTAGACATGGGGTGAGGTACTTAGGTCGTCGGTGCATCCAGCTCGTGAGTCCTAAGGCTCCACGTACGTTTACTTGGAGGTTCATGGGTAGTGATAAATGGGGCTACAAGTCAGGTAGCATATTTATAACCCATAGTAGGGGACTCATGAATCCACTTTTAACTACCCATGAACCTCCAAGTAGAGTATTATACTTGGGCCTAAAGTGCCTTTATAGGAACTCCTGTACGGCCTAAATATATACCATGTAGGCACACGGAGCCTCAGGGGACTCAAGGGAGTATCATACCAAACTCCAGAAAGATGGAAGACAGGGATAATGAGGATCCGTGTTGGGGTCCCCCTGGCCATATACCCGACATCCGAGATCCTGAACCTTAAGCTGAAACCCTCGACCCTAAACGCTCAACCTTGCATCCTAAACCTTAAGGGCCCTTAGGGGCATTAGTGCTCCTTAGGGTTATCATGCTCCAGCTTTCTGGCTTCGGGTCTTCGTGCCTGAACTGGACCCGGAGGGACGGTTTCATGACCCACAGTTTGGCTTAGGGTTTCGGGTTTAAGTTTACGGTTCAGGGGTAGTTATAAGGGTTCCAGTTCCTCTGAGGGTTCCTTTAAAGGGATCTATAGGGATTTTATATGGGTTCAGGGTTTAGGGACTGGTGCTTCGAGGCACAGTCCTTTTCCCGGGGCTCCCGAGGGAGCGCTGTGGTAGAAGCCAGAAAATTGGAACTAGGTTTCTGAGTAACCCCTCTATAATAAGGCTACCCTTTTTCCTACTATTCGGTTTTAATAAGGGGACCCTAGACTAAAAAGGGCAAAAAGGGCACTACTAAGGAACCTAGGGAAGATTAGTCTCCTCACGCCCTTAAGGTAAAGGATAAGGGATCCTTGCACTAACCCGCCTAAGCTCATGTTCCGCCCTTCTGGCTTCTACTACAAGGGATCTATATAAGGGCTCTTTTAAGGGTTTAGGGTTTAAGGTTGGGAGTTTCCGAAGTAGGGGACCCCCATACAGCACCCTAAATAGTAGACTGTAACACGAGCCACGGCTCACGGCTTGACCTTGGCGCCCGCCTGTTTTCTCCAAGGTCCTGGGGTCTCATGTGCAGGGCTCAGGGTTCGATGAGCGACCGGCCAGAGAAGTTGCTGAAGTGTTTGTCGCAAAGTACATCAACCTAGATACCACCCGGAATCCTCGGATGATATCTTAAAAACTTCCTCAATCACAGAATCCTAGGATCATATCTTAAAACTTCCTCAACCACAGAATCCTAGGATCATATCTTTAACTTCCTCAGTCACAGAATCCTAGGATCAGGTCTTAAACTTCCTCTATCACAGAGCACACTGGCCGACCTGGAGGGTGTGACAACGAAGAAGACGTGAAAAGGCACTGGGTCTCCAACTTACGAGCTGGGTACCAGGGTTTAGGGTTTAGGGTTTAGGGTTCTGGGTTTAGGGTTTTGGGTTTAAGGTTTTGGGTACCCTGGTTCCACAAAGTTAACTTGAAACATGGTAGGAGTACAGTAGAAGCCCAAAAGTTGGAAACCCAATAGCCGATTCGTGCTGGCATTCGTTATGCTTTTCCTTCAGGGCATCAGGATACTCATGCTTCAGTTTTCTGGCTTCTATTATCCGGCCCATGAGATGAGGGATACTATAGGGGTTTCACTAATTCCAGCTGGGTTTGTCGGTATACTCGTGCGGTACTCATGGTCAGGAACCCTTGGCAATAGCTATTGCTAGTTATCAAAGGCCCCCGATAGTACGAATTTTGGGGGGAAATAAAATCGGTATGATAAAACCTTTATATAGGAATATTGTACAAATCATAAGTCCCTCTTTAAAAGTCATGGTCCTTTCTAGGTCACCAGAATAGCGCGGAACGCTTATTCAACAACAAAAACCCCAAAAAGGTCCCAAAGTTCAGAGAACTTCCCCGTGCGACCTTTAAGCCACCCTTTATGAGGCGCACTATAAAACCGTTATAGATCACCTTGAGGAACCCAAGGACATCGCTGAAAGAACCCTTTAAGAAACACTAGTTACTAGGGAAACGAAGCCCCTTAAGCCCTAAGCCCCTAAGCCCCTATACCCTATAAACCCTATAATCCATGTAAACCCCTAAACCCCTAAACGGTCACTTACAAGGGAAACGAAGCCCCCAAACCCTAAACCCCCTGGAACCCCAAACCCCTGGGCTGCTGACAGGCCCATGAAGATGGAGAGGGCGTGCTTCCAGTCGGGATCCTCGTGGCTCCATGGCTTGGTTTTTGGGGCTCAGGGTCTACTTAAAGAATCGCCTTAGGGTGTAGGGTTCCTTTAAAAGGGATCTACAAGGGCTCCTTAAAAAGGGTCTATAGGGGGGGGGATGTATGGGGTTTAGGGTTTAGGATCTACTTAAAGGATCATGGGACTTGGTAGCTAGGGTTCCTTAAAAGGGCTCCTTAAAAGGGATCTGTAAGGTTTCTATAAGGGATCTATAGGGTCTACTTAAAGGATCATGGGACGTAGTAACTAGGGTTTAAAATTGGGGTAACTAAACTTATAAGTACTTATAACCCCAATTAAGGTACTTATAACCTTACTTACTAAGTCCCATGTTCCTCCAAGTAGAGTTTAGGGTTTGGGGTTAGGGTGGAGAGTTTAGGGTTAAAGGTGTAGGGTCTGGGGCTTGTATGGGGTGTAGGGTGTGAGCTTTGGGTTTAGCATCTAGGGTCTAAGTGGAAGGTGTAGGACTTTTGGTGTGCCTTCGGCTGGATGGACTACCTTATGGGCCCATGTACTTAGATTATGCTTTATACAATATAAACTTAGGCCTAAAAGTAGCTAGAATATTGAGGCCTAAGTAAGGAAAAACATGCACCTTGGGGCTCAGCGGCGGGGGATTCAAGTTTATTAGTGAGGCTTGAAGGTTTGAGACCAGTATGCGAGCCAACATGTGGCCTCATCATTCCTGCTCCACGGGGGTTTCCGACAATAGGGTACCCCAATATAGTACCCTAAAAAGTAGGATCCTTATTATAAGGACCCCAAAATAAGGTACCCCTAATTTTCGGAAGCTCCCACAGGAAACTGCCAACAGGTCTGCAGGTTCAGGCCAAGGCACCATATCTGAACTTGGGCTCGATATGTTTAATAAAAGGTATAGGAATGGGGTTTAGGGTTTAGGGTTTAGGGGTTTAGGGTTTAGGGTTTAGGGTATAGGAATGGGGTTCTAAATCATTAGAGTTAAAGTTCCTTAAAGGGTTCTATAAGGGAGGCCTTAACAGTTTCTAAAACGGCTTTGCAGCATACCTTAGTAATTAATAAGATAAGGAAGGAGCCCTAACGATTGCTCGTGGCAACTATGTAGGCACCTACAATACATCCCTAATCATCTTCATGAATATGGCAGCCTACCTTCAGATACCTTCAGCCGTTCTCCCGCTGCGAGCAGAAACCACAACTGACAATATAGCAGAATCGAGGCACAACTCATTGAACCGGGGACTGTATACCTAAACACCATCATGATAAGAGCAAGTAGTTAAGAACAAAACTACTAGCCGTACCAAACCAAACAAACGAAAAGCTAAGACCGAACACCACTAGTCCAAGCCCTGCACGACTCGAAACTGCTCTAGGCTCTAAACCCACCGCTCGAAAACCCCAAACTCCAAACTGTGCAACCTACACGCTGAACCTGAAGCTTCGACCTTCTGTCTAGAAACCTGAACTCTAAACTCTAAGCCCTAAAGCCCCTCAGAAGCTAAATACCTCAACACTGAACGCCTCCAGCACCCACCAACTGGCCTCTATTATACCCTAAATACGCACTACAACAAGGGTACGTGTGGGAAAAAACCCTAAACCCTGAATCCCTGAACCCCTTAACCCTCCAGATGTTCAGAACCGATGGAGGTCCTGGAAAGGGATATGATTGGGCCACGGCCTTGGTTGGTTTGGGTTCCCAGACCTTCCAAAATCCTTAAATTAAGGAATATACCCTAAAAATTAAGGGCTTTATGGTTTGGAGTTTAGGACTCATAGGGCTTGCAATATCCCTTAATGGAGGAGTAGACCATAAAGTACAATAGGATCCCTCATATGATTTATGGTATATTCCTGAATGTGGGATTTTCGAAGGTCTGGGTTTTTTGGCTGGTTTCACATGGTCGGGAGGTGCCCCGATTTACTGTAGGATGTTCTTATGTGGCCTTGCATGGTGTACATGGAGCCTTTGGGTAAGGCGGCTCGGGTTTAGGGTTTGCAAGCATGCAGATTTCGGCTTGGAGGCTCAGGTTTTGCGCGGGGGGGGTTCTCAAGATTATCTCATCTAGCTCTAAACTTTAAACCTTAAACCCGACGAAAGCTCTGCACCCTAATGCGGCCCCTCGGCCCTCAACTACCCTGAAATATACCCCCCAAATCCCCAATGCTATAAGGGCTATATGTGCCATTTGGGGGGGGGATCCGGGAACTCTGAAGCCTTGGCCCTAGACACCCGTCTCAGTGGTTTCGCGGGGCTGAAGGTCTTCGAGCTGCTCGGGCGCCAACAGACAAAGACCTTGGTTTAGGGTTTAAGGTATTCCCGGAATCCAACGCTTTTTTTCTTTTGGGGGGGGGGGTTCTGGCATCACCGTCAAAACGGCCTCGATGCTATCTACTTGCCAGATGTTGTCATAGACTTGCCAAGACCCTCACCCAGCAAGCCCTAAGACTCCATGGGCCCATATAGTGGGTACTTAGGCCTTAAAGTGGTTTAGGGTTTAGGACCTCAAAGGGGTCCCTATCACATGGGCCTTTGGGAAGCAGCAAGCTGCTGCGGCAGCACGAGGCTCCGACCGGACTTGCACAGACCTGGGATGTGGGGAGATGGGTAATGTAAGCGCCTTTATTACTTAGAATCGGGGTTTTTGGGCCCGTTATACTATACTCATAGTGACGAGCCCCCACAATAGTATTGGCAATTACTAGGGCCAATCGAGTATGCCACGTTTTGGACGGCTGTGGAACGTATGGGTTGGATTGCTTGTTCCGGTAGCTGGTAGCTAGCAGCCCGAAACCCTGGACCCTACTTAGTTAACCTTAAACCCGAATTCCTAAACCGTCCCAAACCCTGAACCGGATTCAGTAAACCCTAAGCCTATACTGAACTTGAACCCCTAGCAAAAACTTTAGTTTGAGCTTCTTTCTCAAGGATTATTATAGGAACCCCAAACTCTAAGTTATTTCAAAGTACCCCTGAGAAACCCTATCTCCGAAACCCTTAACCCCAAAATCCCCGACCTTCGACCTGAGCTCTGTTAAGCGAAGCATCGAGCGTAGCTGAAACGGGAGTTTCCGAACATGGGGGACCCTTTCAGGGTTCCTTTAAGGGATCTATATAAGGGTTCGATTTAGGGTTCAGGGTTTAGGGAAGTTTCCCCAATTAAGGGACCCTAATACTACAGCACCCTAAATAGTAGGATCCTGATTATAAGGACCCCGCAATGAGGTACCCCTACTTTTCGGAAGCTCCCACATCCAGTTTATGGCTCAGGGGTTTAGGTGTAGGGTTACCTTTTATGTTATCTATTGCTGCCCTATCGGAGAATGGCGACGTAACGGCAGCATGCTTAAAGGGGGTCGAGGGACTTGGTAGATACCGACATAAAACCCCAAGTAAGGTATGAGGTGCACATAATCTTTCCTCTAAGTAGTAAGCCCTCACATATGTAACTAGAGATTGTGAGGTCGGTTGCAGTTGATTTCGCAGCTTGGTTTGATAAGGCTTAGGGTTAAGGGGTCTGGGGATGTTAAGTTTAGGGCAAGGGCTTTAAGGTTAACGGTGATTCACGTCGGGTTAAGGTTTGGAGGGTTGAGAGCTTTGGGTTCGGCGTCGCCAGCCACTTTCAGTACTCCCTCACCCTGGTTCCGGTGGCTCCTGGTCACTCGAAAACCCTGCCCAACCCCCCAATCAAAAGGCTATAACTCAGAGGCTCCTCATATACTACCATTATGGTATTGGGTCCCCAAAAGGCCATCCTTATTATGGTTTGTAGGATCTAAATCCATTATTGGTAGTACACGAGGAGCCTCTAGGCAATTCTTCATATGTCCAGGGTCCAAGTGCCCTGGACTCTCTTCCAACCGCCGTATGCTCCTAGTTCTGATGAGGCCCGACATGTTATGATGCCTGACCCTACTTGGAGGATCATGGGACTTAGCAAGTAGGCTTATAAGTACATTACTTGGGTTTATAAGTAGTTATAAGTATAGCTACCCTAATTATAGCCCTAGTTACTAGGTCCCATGATCCTTTTAAGTAGTACATCCATAAGTCTCAAGCCTGATGCCTTGAAGCCTGATGCCCTGAACCCTCAAGCCCTGAGACCAACAAAATGGAAGACCCACCCAGTTAAAACCTATCCACAAATTGTACAGCTTATAGACTTAGAAATAGTAAGCATCCCCTTCTTGTCTACATAAATAAACATGTACATATACATATGTTTATTTATGATAGATATATTGTATATATATATATATAGATGTATATGTATGCATATGTATATTATATATATATATATATATATGTGGACGAACATAAGGTCAGACTAACACATAGCTCAAAGTTCTAACCAAAGGAATTAAACCAAGGAAGGTGGGGACGCTGCGGGATCTGTTCCAGGTGCTTCACAAGCTGACGAAGTTTGGACCTGCTCAACAGGGCTTCTTGGTTTAGGGGTTTAGGGATTTAGGGTTTAGGGATTTAGGATTTTGGGGGTTTAGGATTTAGGGGTTAGGGATGTAGGATTTAGGGTTTATAGGGATTTAGGATTTAGGGGTTTAGGGTTTCAAGGTGCATGAAATTGTTGCTTAAAGGCATCTAAAAGGGACCCAGAACGGGATAGTGGAACCCCCAACTAAAGACGAGGTATTGAAATCCCAAACTTAAGGGATCATGGGACTTGGTAAGGGTTATAATGCAGGTCGCTATATATCCCTTGTAATTACTTATGACCTCAACTTCGGTGCGTCTAACTGTACATACTAAGTCCCATGATCCTCCAAGTAACTATTGCTTATGGGTGTGAGGATGTTAAAGCCTTTGAAGTTTTAGAGTTGCTGTGTTGTGGGGTGTAATTAGGGTTTATCGTGCTACACCACTTGGAGAGATTAATACTGGTACTTGTAGGCTTGCAAACATGGACACCCGTGGATGCTCGCAAGTGTATCTTTCAGTGCTCCGCACGCAATTTGCTTCCCGCACGGCCTCAACTCGCCCAAAACCGTGCAGAATCCCAAGCACCGAACTCCGGACCAGGGCCCAAGCAAAATATCGTTCCAACTACTCATACGTGAGCGGACAAAAACGGAGCATCTGCCACAATAGCAGGCATTCCTGCGATCTATACCCACTGGAACCGTGTTTGCAGGCGTAATTCCTCAAAACCCTCTAGACCCTAAACCGTAGTAAACCACTGAACCCACAATCCGAAGCTTTCCACTTCCTTGGGCGCGCGCTCGATCCAGCCAGTCCATTTGGTGAAGACCTCGAGAGCAGTTTCTTGGCTTATCAAGTGTCGGGCTTGGGATGGTTTAGGGATTAAGGGTCTAGGGTTTTAGGGTGTTAGGGTTTAGGGTTCAGGATGGTTTCGGGTTTTGGGGCTTAAGCAAACGAACACGAAGATCAAGCCCAGGAACGTACCACCAGGGTAGCAGTATCATGTAAAGTCGAACGCACCCCGCCCGATGCCACGAGCACTTCGCCGGATATCTCAGCCCGTGACACCGCAACCTTAAGCCCAGAGGCTAAAGAAAGCCTACTTATCCGACTGGTAGCCCCCCATGTGGGTAGTATAGGAGTTGTAGGAATTGAACCCAAGGTTCCTAAGGGTTCCTCGAAATGACTGTAGCATAACATAGCCCAAACCCTGACTCCCAAGGCACCTAAACCCTAAACCTTATAGTAGAGCCTTTGTGCAACCCTTACAGGATACTTTTCCAGGAAACCCTATTCTAAATCAGTAAGGATGCTAAAGAAACTGGAGCCCCAGAACATTCATCGAACGCTGCGATCCCGGCCTGCGGCGTCGAGGACAACACTTCTATGAGCAGAAAGAACTTGTGCTGGTTGAAGAAAGGTAAAGGCCTGCGCTGGGATTAAGGTTAAGGGTTTATGCTGGGTTCAGAGATAGGGTGTCTGTATGGTCTAGGCTTCATGTAGGGTTTAGGGTAGAGGGTTTAGGGCCTAGGGTGCCTGCACTGCATGTCGCGTGCTGTAGGCTTCAGAATCGGGCTTGTGGGGGTAGGCAGCTCACGGATAGATGAAGCATGCTGTGAGCGCAGGCACAGCGATCATAAGCTACAAGGTTGGCACATTAATGCAAGACCAAACACTGTCACAAGGGTTTTGCAAGGATTCCAAGGACTTTTTCTCGATTTCGAAAGGGGTTTACACGGTCGCGGTAGGACCCGACCGCGGTTTCTGACTGTTGGTAGCGGCTACCTCGGGTTTGACAGAGTGGGTACATAAAGCTTTGTCAGGAGAGGGTCTACCTTAATATGTGACATGTGTAGACCCTAAACCCTGAACCTTCAAACCCTGAACCCTAAACCCCTAAACCCTAAACAGTAAACCCCTAAACCCAAAGAGTTTAACCAGGAACCTTGATCCCGAACCTCAGGCTTGCTTCTAAGGCCAGAAGGAGGGCTGTAACATAGGGGCCTTACTAACTAGAATAGGGTTATGGTGCCCATTTACTTTCAGTATATTACTGAGGCCACTAAATTAGGCTATGGACCAGAAGCGATCGGTTGGAGGAATGATGCCTCTCGAATTTGTGCACCCTCTGATAGCCCGAGCCGTAAGTACTCAAGTCCACTCACTTCAACATGGCTACAACATGCATCGTGCAATTGGGGACAGTAAAGAACCTGTTCAACAATCAAGACTTTCCGTGGAACATCGCTGACTAGTTGTGGAGTTTAGACATCAAAAGCCAACTTTGCCCAAATCGCAAAATCAAATCAGCCATTGGTCCCTGAGATTTATGCCTGTAGACGTCGCTCCACTTGCACCTTCCTCGCTCCACCTGCGCAACTTGGAGTTACATGCTGGAGCTATCTTTAGGTAAGCCACACCATGATCTTCGATGTGAAGACCCAGCCTACAGTGTCCATTGTAGTTTTACTTTTGGATACCTTTGGGGATCCACAAACTGAAACTAGATACACTCCCAAAGAAAGTCTACAAGGGAGACTATAGGTAAGAAGGGTATTTGCTTCGGACATGTAGATTTTTAGAGTTTCGATATGATATGGTAGTTTTCGAAAACAAGGGACCCTAAAATGGTACTAGTAAGAATAGCAGGATCCTTATTATAAAGGCCCGGAAATAAGGTACCCCCACTTACTTCCCATGAGCCACAGAGATAAACGGTAAACCTTTCCGATTCCTACTAAACCATAAGAACCCCCCCAAAAAAAAGGTTGGGAATTGGGAATCTAAGCCGACGTTTCGGAATCTCCCATATTGGTGCCTCAGACCTTAGAGCTTCCAGAAAAATCAAGGTTTAGGGTTTTAGGGTTCCGGGTTGTGCCAGGACCTTTCAATGGCCCTTGAATGGTGCCCTTATGGCCCTTAATGGTGGGTATTTAGGGTATATTAGAAGGTAGTTGGCGGTCTAAGTAGAGCTTAGGGTTCAAAGTCAGGGTTTAGGGTGGAGAGCTCAGGATTTACGGTTCAGGGTGTAGGGCTTAGGGTTCACGGTGTAATGTTTGTTTGTTTGTTTCAGAGCTCTGGGCTTTGAAATTTTTACATTTGGGATTCACCATCAGAATAGGCTGTTGGCGCATAATGCAATTTAATGAGATCATATGAAGGGATCCTGGCAGATGCCATTGATTCCTATTCCGGCCCATCTTTATTAAGGCCGTGTGTGCCTTCGGGGCCGGTGTCGTTGAGGGTAGAAGTTGGAGGTCTCGGGCTTGAGGAGATTATACTTGGAGATTCAGGGGTAGTTATGCGGGTTTCTTTAAGGGCCCCCTTTAAGGGGATCTATATGGATTCTACAGGGGTATAGGTTTTATAGGGCCTACTTGGAGGTTCATGGGTAGTCGTAAGTGGAGGTAAAAGTCCCCTAATATGGCGGGCTATAGGTATAGTTACCTTACTTATAACCCCACTTTTAACTACCCCTGAACCTCCAAGTAGTACAGTAGTTGCTGAGGGAAGTCTCCGTCCAACCCATCGTCGTGCTGCGGAACTGGTGAAGTATCTACGGTTGAGTCTGAGTGTGGGGCGCAATCATGTAAGCTTCGTTGTTACGTTTTGCCCCACCCCAAGGCTCCAGTTAGCTGAATAGTAGGTTGCTGGGGTACATAACATGGCTACTAACCTACGATTCAAAGGGTAAAAGGAGGGACCCTTAATAAGGACCCCTAGGTATATACCCAAATGTAGCCATTATATACCCATTGTATAGCCCATTATAGGGTAGGGGTCCCCATTAAGGGTCCCTCCTTTTCCCCTCTGAATTTAGGTAACTGGAGCCCTGGGGCCAGGATAAAGAACACTCGATGCCCTGAAGTCGAAACCCGAAGCGTGGCCCGAAACTCGAGCTCAAAACCCCACACCCTGAACCCCGAAGCCAAACATGAACCGAATCCCTATAAGCCCATAAAGGTTATGTAGACCGTAAGCTCTAAGTTCGAGATCATCCACAAACCTATACCTAGATTCCATCCCTCGGGGGTGCCGTAAATGCCACATATGATATGCCCTACTAGAAGCCCTAAACCGGTTTAGAGTTGAGGGCTTCGCGCCTTAACGATGCTAGTCTGACAAGTGCGTGGGCCTAGACCCGAACCCAACAGTTATTTGGGCGGGAGCTGTATTGCAAAAAAAAAAGTCTTAAGGAACCCTGCCGTGCACGGTTGTGAGACAGATGCATAATGTAGCGGCCTTAAGAAACAGAACAGAATCTTCGGGGGGTAGTATACTATAGTTATAATAAGGAACCCCAAAATAGTATTCTGATTCTGATTCTGAGAGGCATGTCGAGTCCATGGGGACGCAGCCCAAAACTTGCAACTCTAAAAACGTGAAACACTGGTCGGCCGTTGTAGCCAAAAGTCCTGTGCAGAGTCCCTGGCACCCTCGACCGAAGCCTGTGCGATGTGGTCCATGACCCACTGCACGGTTCCGGGAGCTGGTCGGAACAACCTGGCAAGTCGAGCCAGATCGATGTCTTCGGAACCATCGCCACCCGTGATCTCGGTGTAGATGGGTGGCCTTGGCCCGAGAGCCTGTTGCACAGGTAAGGCTGCAACGTATGCACCCCAATGCCCTCCCCGGACTTGCTTCTGTATCTTAACGTCTGCACTTTCAACCTCGGTGATCTGCGCCACGGAAAGAGGCGGAAACACATGCAGAAGTCGCGCAAGGCAAGAGGGCGAGTGTTTGAGGTGCGCTTGGACTCGGCGCACACAGTGATAATGCTTCATGCAGGCCAAGCATTGCGGTCCGAGCGCGTAGTGTCGCGACGGGCTGAGGCGACCATGTCGGCGTGCGAGATGCACGCCCAAGTGCTTTCGCAAGACAAACCTGTCCCCGCATTCGTCACAGACGTAGGGTCGGTCGGCAGTAGTTGACTGCGTCTGCCCCGGTGCTGTACGGCAAGGTCGCCAGTTGGCGAGGTCCTCGCAGAATCTCTGTATGGCCTGCTTGACCCGGGCTTTCCACCACGATGGAGAGTCCTGCACCGCCTCAAGCAGCGCGGTGACCGGGCAAGACATGCGGAGCAAGTCAGCCGCCGCATTCACATATACAGCAACCGCCTTCAGGTCCAGTACAAATGCACCCAACCAGGACTTCAAGGGCGCCTGACGCCAGTGTGCATGGAGAAGGTGCAGCAAAGCCCCTGGTCCCTTTTGCAAAAGGCGGCCCAAAAACGAAGCTCGCGTCTGTGCCAGAGCCAGCAAGGGCGATGGCGCATTTGCGGCTTGCAGGACGGCATAACTGTGAGGACTGTCATCCCTATCCTTCCAGCGTAGCAAGCCTCTCCACAACAGAACGTAGTGTCGACACCAGGTCCGTCGATGTTGCGCAGCGTGTAAATCCAAAGTCGAGCTGGCAAACGTAAAGCGAGAGAGGACAAGGCTGTGAAGGAAAGTCCGGCGGAGGGTGAGTGGCACTCGCACGTCGGAGAAGAGTCTGCCCCTGAGGGGGCGCATCATGCCTTGAGCAGCCGCAACGCGGAATCGAATCTCCGGGTCGGGTGTTGCATTGGCTATACGGTTATGCTGCCCAAGTGACGGTACGCGTCGATGACCGGTAGCTGGTGGGTAACACAGGCAATGTCATCGCGTATGAGCATGTAGGTCCCATCCTTGTCGTCATGCAGGATGTGGGGGCTGTCAGTACGGGGACAGTTGCTCGCCAACAAAGTCGCGGTTTTGTCCCTCGCAAATGCGAGGGTCATGCCCAGACTGGTCGCCTGTTCAACAACTAGACTGGTGGCCCGGACAACCCTGTCTATCAGTTCAGGCGGGCGCTGCGCTGACTGCAGATGAGTATAGTCGTCGGCCCAAGCTGGCAGACCGAGGGTGTGCACCGGCTCCCATGTATGCCACGGGGGAGGGGAAGAAACCTGTGGAACCGGTGTGGAGAGCCCTCGTTGCGTCAGCGCAGTCTTCACAGCCCGAACATAGGCGCCAAAAGTGAAAGCAAAGAGGACGTCCGCCAGGGGGTCGCCTGGGCGGGACCCCCTGGCGGTGAGCATGGCGACTCCATCCTTGTCGAGTCTAAACCAAGAGCCTCGGAAGAGGTCCGACACTTGTGCCTGGAGGAAGCCCCCAACCTTGGCGTCCTGAAGAATGCATAGGCCATGAAGGTGCCTCATCAGCTCAGGGAGAGCCCCGGACGGGATGGCAAGATCGCTCAGTAAGCGCAGAAGCCGGGCATCATCCAAGGTGGGACCCGTGGGAACGAGTGCTTGTCTGATGACTCTGTAGAAGGCCGACTTGACGTCGAAGTACGTCAAGGCACAAACCTGTCCAGCGCTTAAAGCCCAGTGCTGATACGTGCGAACCGCCAGTCCAACCGTGTCAACCCCAATGCCCTGCAGTTGGCCGGCTTGAAGCTCATCGCAGTAAGAAGCTAGTGAAGGCAACAAAAGGTCACGCAGGTTGCGGTGGTGAAGTTTGGCCGCCACGCTTTCAACAAGGATCGAGCGGTAGCCGCTGCACTCCAGAGCTGTAGCAGCCTTCTTGGCCAGGCTGAGCAGCGTGCCTCCTCGCCACTCGCACGGTTCACGGACACCTAGCGTAGTCTTCAGACACACCGGGTATAAAGAGCGTGCAACAGCAGCGGGGGCCAACTGAAGCAACTCGCTAGTGATTCCGTCAGCACCACAGGCTTTACCCGGCTTGGCACGAAGTACATGTCTCTCCAGCGAGCTCAAAGGGGGTACATCATGTATACAGAACAGGGGCCCCTCCGGCAGCACAGGAATGTCAGGACACGCGAAACGACTGGCGTACATGCTGGGGGTAACAGGCTCGGCTGCCTCCTGACTGCCAAAAAAGTCACGCCAACGCGCCAGGCAGGTCTCTCTGTCAGAAGCCAGACGGCCATCCTCGAGACGAACAGCCGGAAGTGGCCGGAAGGAAGTCCGTCGTGAAGAACGCGCTGCAGGAAACGCCTTGCGGACGGCAGAGTATAGTGCTTTGGGATTGCGACTGTCCTGTAGCGCCACTTCATCGCGCAAGGAATCCAAATACGTGATGCGGTCCCGCATGACAGCGGCCTTGATGGCCCTGGTGGTATCCCGCAACATGGCGACAGCCTGGGCAATGCTGAAGTCGATCTCCGAGAGCCAGTGTCCTGCAGTATCCCGGTGGTGGGAGTGAAGGCTGAGCCACGATGTTCATGCACAAACCCTGCAAAGCCAATCAGCACTAAGCGGCGGTTACGTTCTACCTCCTCAGCTTCCAGGTACTCCCGAAGGGCTCGCCTTCGGCTGACAAGGTCAAGGGTAGCTGGCTGGAGGTAGTCCTGGGTGGGTCTCACAGAGGGCTCTGAGCAGAAGGGCTGCACCGCAGCCTTGACATTGTGGACCCAAACTGAGTAATGAGAATCGATGTCGGTCAACCATGAGGTCACAGGCAGTGCCCTAAGTGCAGTAGTGGCTGCTGTACTGGAGCGGAAGGATTGGGCAGGTCTGCAGGCTGCCCTGCTAGCCCGGAGGTGACTAGTTGCAGGCGCTGACTTCACGAATCCAACTTCCAGGCAGGCTGGGACATGGTCTTGGCGGGCCTGTAGAGCCTCGAAAGATGACCAGAGCCAGGAAGAAAGCACCTTGTCATGCCAAGTGTTGGGGACGGCAACATAGTCGATGCGGTGGCTGACACTGGGATCAGGACCAAACCAGGTATGGTGGGTCCCGGAGTGAACTTCGGTGGTAGCCGGAAGGAAGCTTGCAATCTGCAGGAGAAAGTCATGGAAGGCGGTTCCTTCAAGATCCTCGGGTTCCGCTCCGATTGATCCTACCGAGCCAGTAACAACCTCGCCGAGTCTCCCATTGGCATCGGCCAACACCACAGTTGAAGCGTGATTAGCATGTCGAGAGAGGGCAGAGACGTGTCCATCCCAGAACTCTTTGGGTGCCTCGGCTCCACTGGTGCTCACTCGAGGACAGTGAGCCACCAGTACCTGCAGACAAAGTCGAGGGGCCTCAACAAGCAAATGGAGGTGTCGGTGAGAGCTGCCAAGAACAGTCACATGGTCTGGGGCAACCTTCAGTTCGCGGCCCCTCTCGGTGGCATAAGCACAGGTCTTGTTGATCCAAACTGCACATCCGCCTTGGCCTCGATCATTGGCCGCTGCACTGTACATGTAGAAGTCTGCATCCGGGAGCATGCCGGTGTTGGGCAGCCTGGTTTCTTGGAACCCTGTGATCCATACTTGCTGCTCCAAGAGTTGCTGTTTGACGAGCTGACGCTTTCCCATGACTCGCAGGCCGTTGCTCTCCGTACGGAGGCGTCGTCCCTGTGGTGCACCGGGATCGAACATGGTGAGGATGTTGTAGGTCATGAGACGGAAGAGGTAGGTAACCTCACTCTCAGGCTGCTGAACCTGTCGTAGGCCTTGATCGGGATATTTGCCCGGCAGGTCAAGGGTCTGAAGCCGGGCGGCTTCAGCTTCAAATGCCGGAAGGCAAGGGAGGTCCGTGGCTCCAGGATGCGCCAGCCATCCCCAGGCGGCGAGCGAGTGACGTCGCCATTCCGCAGGCCATGTGGGGAGACAGCGGTCATAATAGTCCTCATGGGCTCTGCGCGCTTTCTTAGCTAGCTGGTCGCACAGCTCGTTACCTATATCCCCGTTGTGGCCCTTGACATGCTCGTGCCACACCGCTACCCGATCGAGCTTCAAGTGTCTGACGCAATGTGCCGACAAAGGCCGGAAGGCTAAGGCTGTCATCCGCTACCGGGTAAGAAACCTGTTGTGCCGTAGCAAAAGAACCATAGCCGACGCTGGTAGCGTCGAAACGGAAAACCAAAGGCACAGCCAGCGCAGGTCCGAACTCCAGAGCCCAGCATAACGCCCATGCTAACGCCAGCAGCTCGCCCGTAACGGCGTCGTCACGGGCCTCCCCGAGGAAGAAGGGTGTGTCGGCTGGCACGGCCGAATGCGCTGCGGCGCCAACAAAGTAGGACCTGGTATGCGTCTCAGCCCACACCGAGAACGCCCACGCTGCTGGGGTCTGCGCCTCCCCCGGCTGGCCTGGCGCAGAGCCGTCCGTATAGACGGCGATTTGTGCAATCCCGGCAAGCTCGGTGTCCCGTGTCCAAACGGGAAGGTTGTCAAACGCGAAACGGAGGTGTTCCGGAATCTTGTAGTCTCTCGTGAGAGAACTCAAATCGCAGTCAAGCCAATCCGACGCAAGTGTGGCTCCGGTAGCAGGACCGTATGGTCCGGGAATGATGGACTGCAGTTCCAGAGCCTGTCGCTGAAAGGGTGTGGGGGGAAGCCCTGCAGCAAGAGACAGAGTGCATCGTGGCGCACACCGGGCCCCACACTCCGTGAGCGGCCGCTGTGTGCTGAGATGGTCAGCCAGCACTTCAAGCAAGGTCCAAGTCTGAAAGGCCCATTCCTCCCCGTGTACCTGAAAGGCCTGATCAAGTAGGGTGGTCAGTGAATTGAACTGGCAAGACTTGGCGTTTGGATCGATGACTGGAGTCAAGGATGGCAAGTTGAGTGGTGTCCTGCATGGCGTGGGGAGAGCTCGGTGTCTAGCAACATGTCTCTCAACAGTGACATCAAATTTGAGGACACTGTCAATCACACCATGACTGAGTGGGTCCTGCTGCGTAGGGCCAAGAATATCAAGTCGTGTAGGCAGCTGCACGGCTGTCAGCTCAGTAGGCAAGCAAGCAAGGACACACACGGAGAAGACAGTGCGCCATCGAGGTGCCTGGCTATTGCCAATCTTGACACGGCTCAATCCGCGTGGCGGAGGCCCAGAGGTACTGGGCGCGTCTGTTGAGCACCGAATGCAACGTCCCAGTGGGAGGACAGAGGTGGAGGACCCCGGGCCTCCGCTAAGGCCGTCCTGGTGAAACGGGGCTCCCCACATGGCTACTCGACCAGTGGGCGGTGCATTATCTGGGGCTCCTTCTGAAGATGCAGGCCGGTCTGCAGTGGCCCCTTCTGGCTCTGGCTCATGAGGAGTGTCCGGGTGCTGGTCAGCCCCTCCCGGGGACGCTCCTCCGGTCTCTGGTGGGCCTTCAGGATCTGGCGTGGGCGAGGAAACGGCTGGATGATAGCCGTGAAAAGCATACCTGGGATAGCCGGAACACGGTCAAGCTCTGAATCCACCTGCCCATCGGCACAGCCGAAGATGAGCCGGTGTTGCTCAGGAATCCAGCGGGCAAACCTTCGCATGAACTCAGCTTGCTGAAAGAAGCCATCGACCGTGTGCTGCCAGACAACACCTTGACACAACGCACGGAGGTCGAGGACACAGAGGTCTGGCACTGGGCCCAGGGCCGGACGCAACAAAGCGACAAGAACTTGCAGCGTTAGGTGTCCACGATCTGCGTGGTTGAGGATGTTAGGGACCGGTGGCCGAAGGCAAAGCCGCTGTGGTGCAACACCAAAGTGATCAGCGATGTCTTGCGTCCAGAGCTGCCTGCGGTAGGGATCTGCCTGAGCGCGAAATGGCTCAACCTCTGTTAGGACCCGCAATGATTGCGAGAACTCACCGGGGATGGCATCGGCAGTCCTCCAACCTTGCGCTGAAAGCAGCATGTCCGGTAAATTGGTGAGCACCATGACCTCGTGCTCAACATGAACAACAGTGACGACATCCCCCTCCTGTAACCGCACCGGCTGTCTATGTTCCAAGGGCCAGGGCATGTCTCCCAGGAACACACGCAAAGGCTGCGCCAAAGGGACCTCGGCCAAGGAAAGAAGTGAGGAGCGGTCCATCACAGGGGAGACTACGACCGAAAATATTCTGCCATCGACCTGTGTACAGTCCACCAGAATGGGCACACCATCGAGTGGCCAATCCGGCAGCGCCAACAGCAGACCGATACCGGAAAGGGTCTGCGGATACGCAGGGGCCAGAATGGGGAAGTCCGACTTGGCTCGGCGGCCACGGCTGCGGGAGACCGTCGCCATGGCAATGTCAAAGGTACATGGTGCAAAAAGTTCGACCTCAACAAGCTCAGGCTGGTAGTCCTGCACAAAGACAAGAAAGACTGCAGTGAACGGTGTGCCCGGTTGCGCGACCTGCGGTCCTGTATCCGGCCTGTCAACAGTGAAGACAGGCGGCGGTGCTCCGGGCCCTTGCTGTCTAGCTTCCCAGGTATGAAGCATCTGTTGCTCTCCTGCTACTGGGTGGGTATGCGACTCCGTTGGGGCGCTCAAGTGCTGACCGGGACGAAGTCGACACTGCGTCGGCATCAAGTTTTTGAGAGGAAATGAAAGAGGGTGCCTGAACAAATCTACGCCAAGCTTGGCCCACTGCAGGCGTGGTGCCAAAGTGCACTCACACTCGATGCATGGCCAGGCTACTTCTGCCTCAAAGACCAGTCCCGCCTGCGGGGGCAGTATGACAACATCACGTAGGAGAGCATCGCAATCCTTGATGTCACAGAAACCAAGAGTGTTCTCAGGCCTAGCACCTTGGGTCTGTGGAAAACCTCCATTGCCTGACCTGGGTGACCTGCTGCAGGAGCGGTTCTCATCATTGGTCTCCTGACTGGGAGAGCGAGCTCGGTGTGTTGCTGCAGTCCTAGTAGGGGGTCCGGGGTCGTCCCTATCGCTATCTGAGGCCGCCGAGTCGTCCTGTGACGACTCAGAAGATGGAGCGTAGTGGACAGTGAGTATGCACCCGGCTGTGAGCTGAAAAAGGCCATGCTCTACGTCAGCCCCTTCAAACCGAGGTTCGAGACCATCCGGGGCAAAGACGGAAAGGAGGTCGGTGAGCTCGGCACAGGAGTACGTCCCATCCGTGACATACAGCAGATGCCCCTTGTAGGATGGGGCGGCAATCGACCACTGACAAGAACAGTCCGGGTCGCAGCCGAGCGGGCGGGATGCGAACACTGGTCATGTCCCCTGACACTAGACCGACACCCTTACAGTGGTATCCATTGAAGCTCATATCGGCGACCCTTGGTCTGGTGACTTGGGCAGTGGTCATATGTGGCTGGTAGCCGTAGCGCATGGCTAGAGCTTCAATGTGGAGGCCTGGCGGATTGTCGAGGACGTGCATACGATGTCCCTCCTCAAAAACAAGACACGGATAGGGGCTGCGATCACCTCCTGGCCCTCTGGGGAGAAATGCACGGGCTTCCCAGGCTTCCGGATGTGCCAACATGTGAGTGAGCCGACCACGTCTTGAAGGGGATCTGCCAGCAGGGACAATGGCAATGCTACCTCCTACAATGACTTCGGCCTCATCAGTGTCGGCCAGGGGCACCGTCGCTCCAAAGGCAAAGACCCGGAATGTGGGATCCTCGGGCAAGGCTGCCACTCGCAAAACATGCGCACGGGTGAAGAGCCTCGGAACTGGCGCAGGGTAGAAGCGGTCATCGTATTGACGGATGTCAAGTACAATGATGGCTTCGTCAGCCGCCCAGGGAGGGAGCGCCAGGACAGAGCCCCATGATGTAGCAAGCTGCGGACGCACAGGCAGAAGCGTCGAAAAGACATCACTGACAGCCGGGTCCATGTCCGTAGCAATAATGTCCAGCGCTTCCTGAACTCCAACCCCGGTAGGCAGGTGCACATGAAGTTCTATTGGAGTGTACTCAAGGCGGAGGACCATGAAGGTGGCATCGAAGCCTCCCTCATCACTGTGGTCGCTGTGGTCCCCGGGCGGCTGCAGATCATGATGGGGCTGCGGCGCGCCCTCCGAGGTTTCACTATCAGTCTGATCTTGAGGTCCCTGTCCGGGAAGGTGCTCCTCCTGCGCAGCTCCCTGGTACAGTCTTTGCAGTAGGGTAGGCCCGGCTGCCGCTCGCAGGTCCGTGTGTCCGGATGGGCATGGCTGGTGACAGGACTCAAGAATCTGCACAGATCGAATCTTGTATGTGGCATCTGCAGGCGCAGGACCATACCCCGACGAGACAGTGATCCTATGTGAGGGCTCAATGCCAAGAAAATCCAGAACATCCTGACCTGTGACATGCTCCGGTGCATTGGGCCACACACACACACCCAGGCCCATTTGGCGAGCATCACATAGCAGAGGGCAGGCCTCGCCGCATACGGCTTGCTGGCTGCGATCCTGTACGACAAGGACAGTGTCACAATGTTCCCCTTGATGTGCACTGCCACTGTGCAGTGTGACAGAGTAGAGAGTAAGTGAAGCCGCGTCGCATCGCAGGGCCCTGCAGACATTGGTCTTGAGATTGGAGCCTTGTAAGTGTCGGAGCGGCAGCGCAAAGAGCTCGTCCTGGCAGACGACCAGAAAACCAGGATCCTGTGAAGCCACGGGCATGTGTTGAATCCTGCCTCTGACACTGGGCGCTCTCAAGACATCATCAATGGCAACAGGCCGCAATGGTCGGACTCCTTCCCACAAGACAGTGAGGACATCGCCATGTCCAAGATTCAAAGTTGCCTGTGATGCGACCGGGCCCTGGAAGGGAGGCATCCACAGGCAGAGTTCTAGATTACTCACTGAAGTTTGAACCCGAATACTGTCAAGGAAGCTCTCGACCCGAATAGTGGCAGGCAGAGTGGCCGCATAGTAGTGTCCTCCGACATGTGACAAGTCTAAAATGACGGAAGTCTGACCACGGCGATCGTCTTCAGGGGCCGCGAGGATCAAGGCTGCATAGCCTGCATGCCGCTGAGGATAGACGGGCACGGCTACATGATAGCCTGGTCTATCTCGTTGTATGACCTCCAAGACCTGGGTGGAGAAGTCCCGAGGTCCCTGTTCCCCTGGGCACCAGAGGGCGAAGTGTTGAGGCTGCGACAGAGGCGCATGAACAGTAACCCCTATCCATGACTGATGGTCGACAGAGCGGAGACTTCCCTCAGCGACCGGCAAAGGAAAAGAGCACGAATGTCCGAGATCCGCAAACTGAGGGTCATCAAACCAGCGAACATCCTCAGCGCATTGCGGTGCAAGGGCAATCAGGCCTTCCACGGCCTCAAGAGTCCTGCTAAGTCCTGTTGGAGCCGCCCAAATCTGAACCGGTAGGCTCCAAAGGCAGAACATGGTGTACCACAGAAACCTTGAACCTGGAGGGCGGTCCCCACCGGACTTGACCCGCCGGCAAAGTGGTTTCCATGCGAGCACCGGCTCCATACGTGGTGTGGCACACGCGAAGCCAAGGAGAACACGCTTGTACGTCCCTGTGAAAAGCAGCCTAGCAAGTCTTCTCGGCCGTACACCACGAGGTATGACCTGTCGCAGCCAGAGCGAGGCAAGCAGGAGTGCAAAAATGCCCCATGCAGTCCGGGCAACCGCATGCACACCTTGACAGATCCAGCCAAGCAGAAGCCTAACTAGCCACTCCTTACAAGGAACCCAAGCTACAACCTGATCCGATGCCGTGGTGAACACCCCAGAGCCACCGATGTGTTTCTTTGGCACGCTTGGCAGGGGACATGGATGCAGCGCAAAGGGTCGGCACCTCGCATTGTAGAGAGGTGTCAAAGCAAGCGGCGGAGGAGAAGGCTCCACGGTACAAGCCCAATACCGGGTAACCTCTCGCGAGGAGGGATCGTCGCGTGCTGGTAGACCAGGCCTCCAAACCCAGAAGGCCGAAACCGCCAGCTGCGAGACGAAGCAAGGACAGAAGGGCTGACCACACCTGAATAGAGCAGGGCGAATGATCGGGATCATTGCGAGCAACAGCTCAGAAGAGAAAGTGCCAGGGACTCGCACCAGATGACTGTACAGTTCAAAAGGAAACCGCGAGGATCCAAGGTCCACAATCCAGACACTCACTTTCCCATCGCATTGCTGAGGGAGATCGTACCCTGCCAGAACAGGTCCCCGTGACCTGTCTGTAGGGAGTGGCCTCCACAAGCTGCATCTGGGAGAGGAGTATCCGGAAGGAACAACGGACCCTCGCCTACCGCTCAGAGGGAGGAATCTCACTCCATACCTGAAAAGCCCGGCGAGCGAGGCGCGGTCGGTCCATCCAGGTCGTCGTCGATGAAGCTCGTCTTGGTCGGTTCCTCCGTAGAGCCTTGGTGCTGATCTTGGGCCTCCGTCTGGTCTTTCCGTTCTGTACTCGGAGCTGGTGTAGATGGCATCCCTCCGCGGAAGGGCTGTAAGGCATTGCCACGTTCGACCTCCCTTCGCTCCTCCAGCTTTTGTTGTAGCGATGCTCCTGCGACTTCCGGTTTGGCTGGCGGCTGCATGGTGGCCTCCTTGATTCCCACTCGGTTCGGGGTCCGTGGATGTTCTCCCTGTCCGGTGACCGCCGGTGCCTGGGGCAAGGATGCACTCGCCGGCACAGGCGTCGGTGTCTCCACATGTGGTCTCAGAGCTGTCGGAGAGGTCGTCGGATATGGGGCTGCTCGCTGAGCGGCACCCGGAGATACTGCACCATAGGTGGGCACAGCATGTTCCACACTGGGTTCCTTGTCTCCGAGAGGTTCGCTCACAGCCGGCTTCTCGCGAGAGGCAGCGGCCTGACCTGGTGCTGAAGGAGCACAAGGAGCCACCTGTTGTCCCATCGGTGGTGGAGCACTCGGCGTTGGCGCAACTCCTGGAAACACGGGAAGATGGCCCGCCTTGTACGCCCTGAGGACTTCCATGAGCCCCGGATCGATGGGTTCCCTGGAGCTCTGAGCCGTGTGGCGATGGATCATGGCTGTCCATTCGTCCATTTCGCCACTCTGCACCTCCATAGCCTTGACACCGGCAACTCCTTCGACAGTCTGTGCCAGGGCTTCCTTCGCCTCCACCACCTGTCGTTGGGCCTCGATCAGGCCTGTAGCCATGCGCTCCTGGTGCTCCGTATATTTCCTCCGTTCCTCCACGAACGCAGCCATCATCTTCTTCTCGTACTCCACGAAGCGCTCGGCCTTGGTCTTCTGGTCCGATGTGATCTTGGCTACGCGGGCTTCTGCCTTGCGCAGCTGGTTGACAGCGGCTTGCACGCGCTGTGCAAGGGCTGCCTCCTTGGTGTCCTTGGCCTCTGTGGGCTGTTCGTGGATCACACGGATATACTGTTCCTCCGTCCACTGCCTGTCGTAGGACGGGAATGGCTTGTCCCGTGGCTTCGCATTGGGCGAGCCCGTAGATCGCCACGATCCAGGCCACAACGACCACTTTCCTCCATACTGGCTGTAGTCGTCGCCCCGCTGTCGCCATGGAGCCTCCTCCGGCTTGGCTTTGGTCTTGGAGCGAGGCATGGTAGTGGCGTGGTGTCTGAGTAGACGAAGTAGCCTGAAAGCACTCGGGACTCGCCCGGCCTTCAAATGAGCTCGCGTCTGCGAGCGCCGTCGTCTTTGGCGGCGATGCCACGTAGGTGACGCCGGATACCGAGGTATGGCGGCGCTCCTAAAATCACGGCGCGCTCAGTGCGCTGGGGCTCTACGATTTTCTGGCTCCTGTCGCCAGCGATTCGGGCCCTTATTCGCCAAGCCATTACCTGATCTGCATCTCCAAAGCAGGATATGAACAACACAAAATAGTATAGGCAATTATTGAGGCCCCTATACTATAGTAACTAGTACCCTTATAGATCCGTTATAGTAGCCCTTATGGACGCCGTTTTAACAAGCCACTATGCCCTGACCGCAGGACGGCAACCGACAGGGTTACAGGAGCAAACAGACGGAAACAGGAAGCCTTGGACAAACGGGAAAGCCCCGACCGGCACGGTTGATGATATGAATCCTGCATTACCCACAATACCCTAAGGCTCCTAAAAGGGTCTTGGGCCTTGTGGGGGAGAGTTTCGGCTTTGGGGGCCACGGTTTGGGACCTCACTCCAAGGGTCCAGGAGACATAGGGTAAGGAATATACCATCATTCCCATGGTTTAGGGTCTTTAAGGTAATGCAGGATTTATATCATCAACAGCAGGACTTGCAAAGGCGGTCCCCTTTCTTGAGGTGGCTGTTCCGCGTGCCAGGAACTGCCATGATGGTGCACGCGTTTTGTAGGGCCCACAAAAAGCACACAAGCAAAAATTAGGGTAGGGATGTCCCATATAGACCCCCTTATAAAGCAGCCCAATAAGGTAGGGATATCCCTATAAAATGCTTATGCTAATGTGCTTTTCGGGTCCCTAATTTTGGTGAAGTAGAGCGACTCAGGGCTTGACGGACCGCGGAAGCCGAGAAGCTTGGTCGCTGAGATCAGATGGCTAAAGGTTACCCTCAGGGTCCATGTACTCGTATAGCATATACTTGGGCCCCAATGCACATAAACAGGGACTACATTAAGGCCAATGTATGTACTATATGACTACATGGACCCTTAGGGTTAATCTCAGGAGTTCCGATTTGCCGGAACCCAAATCCAGGAGGTGCTGCACGACGGCGGTCGCGAAGCAAGTGGAACCAGCCGGTAAGCCCTGCTGCTTTGCAGTGTTCTCCGCCAGCATTTGGCTACAGAAGTAATGTAGGGCCCTCAATGATTAGAATAGGGCTCCTTTAAACGGTTCCTTGAAGGGTTCTACAAAGCATCTATAATAGGGGTATATGATTTAGGGGCCTTAACAATTAGAAGGGTTTTGGGGCCCATTATACTACAATTATTAACAGGAACCCTAGGAACAATGTTGGAAATTAGTTTTTAGGGCCTCTATAGTAGGCCGTCAAAGCGTCTTCCAAGCGCTCGCGCGGATGCATGGCGGCGTGCCGGCACGCAGCGAACACCTGACCCAGCACAACGCTAGCCAAAAGTTGACCCCCCGCTGCCCAGGGCACCGCAGGCCTCGAAGCTTCCCTAGACCCTAAACCACCAGCAAGTACGGGTTAAAGACTAAGGCAGCGAGAAGATCGCTTTGCAAATCCGCGCCAATGAAGTAACTGACCCTAAGGGTCCATGTAGTCATATAGTATATACATTGGCCTTAATGTAGTCCCTATTTAGGTACATTGGGGCCCAAGTATATGCTATACGAGTACGTGGACCCTGAGGGTGAATTACCGAGCCATATCCTAAACCCGACGCCTATCCTAATCCTCGAATCCTATCTTCATCCTAAACCCTGATGAAAACACATTGGGACCCCTGCCCCTGACCCCTGGGCCCTACACTTTAAACCCTAAAACCCAAAACCCTAAAACCTAAACCCTAAAACCCCAAACCCTAAAACCTTAAACCCTAAAACCTAAGACCCTAAATCCCTTTAAACCCTAAGCCCGAAAGCCCTAAAACCCTAAACCCTAAAGCCCTAAACCCTAAAACCCTAAACCTTAAAACCCTAAGCCCTAAACCCCCGAGTGCAAAGACACGCGGCCTGCTCGATGACTTTGTTTGCTCGGGCCAGCTCCTCGAGGATGATCCGCTTCGTCCTGGTTTTCGGATTTTGGGGTTTGGGGTTTCGGGTTTAGGCCTTACCTTAAGCCGGAATAACCTACCCTTTTAGGGTTCCGCATTATGATTTCCTTATGTAAGTCCTTAAAAAGGTAGGTTATTCCGGCTTAAGGTAGGGTTTATAGGGTTTAGGGCTTATAGGGTCTAGGGTTTCAGGTATATAGGGTCTACCTGGACATTGGTTTGTAGGGGTTTATTTTGGTTTCCTACTTTTTGTGTGCACAAAATGGTTTTGAGGAGGATTTGGTTTCTTTTTGGCCTGGGAAACTAGTTCTTGAAAATGCTGGTCCAAAGCATAGTATGTGTTGGCCAAATCATGGGTACACACATGTACACGTACGCATACACACCAAGATATACAAGGATTATATATGTCGCATGGCCATGCTGCACTTCATGACAACATAAACACATGTTTCAGGTCGAATGCATAATAACACACACACACACAGTGGAGAGAGACGAGAGTGCCTCTGTTACACTTGCTTGTTTCGCAAATGCAGATGGATCAAGATTCTATATGTGTGTCTCGAGCAGAATGAAGTGTGCTTGCTTCGAAGATGGATGAAGATTCTGTGGGTACCCCCATTCGAATGAGCTGTTCTGCAACCCTGCTTGCTTCGCAAATGGATGAAGATTCGAGATACGTGTCTCTAGCCGAATGATCTGTTGTGCAACCCTGCTTGCTTCGCAGATGGATGAAGATATATGGGTGTCTCCAGCCATGATCTGGTCTGCTCACAGTTCTTGTGCTTTTTGGGTGTGGTGAAGCATGCATGCATATGGGTATCATGTTCCATATTGGGCCGTAAGAGATCTGATATATCATATGTATATATATATATATACATATTATATATATATATATATATATATATATATGCATGATTGTCTGCATTTCAAGTTTGCTGGCAGTGCAGCTGAGCAAGTGCAGTTGAGATCTTGGGTGTTTGATTGCAGGTGTGTGACCAGCATCGGACATGTTCTCAAACCATGCATGAGCAAGCAGAGCCATTGATGCACTTCGGTCTTGGCAGAATCACTCTTCTTTTCAATGGATTTTTTGCGCTTGTATCCAAAACAGAATAGCATTCAGTTAAGTACAAGGTGTGAGTCAGCAAATCCACAGTGCTCTCTGTGTGTGCATGGTGCTGATGGGGGCCTGGAGCCCAGCATTGTTCAAAGTAGCTGTTGCTCTTGCTGGTCAATGTTAAAGCTTCTTGCAGCTTGTGCTTTCAGCCCGTGTCTTCTGCTGGCAGCTTCTGGCTTTTGTTTAGCTTTTCCGAGCTGTTCCTTTTTGTTTCTGGGTTCCCATGGAGCCGGGACCGATCGCGGAGACGGATGATGGTCCTTCGCAGAGGCTCCTGGCCATGCTGGTGAAGGATGTGATGAAGGCCAGTGCACTGGGAGTCTGTGTCATCAGAAGGGGCGGTATTCTTCCAAATGGTCATTGCTGTTCAGGAGTGGGATGAGATCCCATCCATGGCTTCCTTGGCCATGAATGATAAGTGTTTTGTTCAATGGCCGGCTGATGCGAAAGGGCAGAAACGCATCCCAACCGCGCTGGCTTGCAAATTGAATGAAGTGCCTTGGCACCTACCCTATTTCTTCGTTCAATGTAGAACCCCAGTTGTTCCGTACATAGGGATGCCTTTCCAAGGCAATGCTTGCTCCGATCGTGGGCCGCAACCTGCAGCATTACGCCCTGCTGTATGTGAATGTCTTGGAATCCATGATGTCTTCCTATCGTGTGCAGATCAAGGTGGGTCAGTAGCATGGTAATATACTTGGTGGTGGGAGTTCTGCATGTGCTTGCTTTTGACTGGGTTATCTCGCCTGCCATGCAGATGAGACACCTCAATGTCGCGAAGAAGGAGGTGCTTTGTTATTGTAGGACAGACGGAGACTATGATATTGGGGTAAAGGTTGGGGTTGAGCATTTGCCAGGTGAAGATCGATGCAGCATGCATCAATCCAGATGCTCATGGCATCAAGGCACTGGTGTGTTGCCATCGCCGATGCTCGTCATGGACTCATGTGTTGAGGATATATGAACATACATGTTTATGTAAATATACATATATTTACGAACAGGATACCACTTTCCCATGCATGTACATGAGTCCACGTCTTTTCTCTGCTCCCAGTCTTGAATACAGATATGTGAACTACAATGTGTATACATATACATATGTATATATATATATATATATATCAAAAGCATATAAATATGCATGTTATATATATATATATATGTGTGTGTCTACATATGTTGTTGATAAACAAATATCATATACATAAGTATGTCTATCGGTCGATGGATAGATATGCTTATCATCTTGTGGCCATATTACAGCTTGCATGTCACTGCACAGAAGTGTATGCCATTTATCATACGTGGGCAAAGTAATACATCGGCTGTGCACACACAGAGGGACAGGACTCGGAGTTTAAGGACTTGCTGATCGTTCTGATAATCAGCGAGATGTGGATGTGCAGAAGCTGACTGAGTCACAGCTGCATTCGGACATTTATGCACTGGACTTGCATCGTTTTCTCATGCATGCAGTTGTGGTGTGGGATAAATGGGTTTTTAAGGTGAGGCTTCGAGAAGTGGCACACAAGATGGAGGCCAACGAGTTGCCCTACGTCATCAAGATTTGCAGCGGTATGGATCCGGAATCGCTGGAGGTGCAGAACCGCACTCGGGCCATTTGGAAGAAAAGGAAATCTGCTGAGGCCTTTCCTGAGGAGCGCCATGAGTTGCCATTGGCGAATGCAGATGAAGGTGCAGTGGATCTGCCTGCGATTGCAGGTGCGGGAGCTCCGCCTGCTGAGCCTGAGCAGGAGATGCCTCCGCTGATGGATTCGCTGCATCGTGAAGTGGCAGATGAGGCAGTGGAATTTCCGCCTGTCCAAGATGCCCAAGAGTATGTGATGCCGGACACCTTCACCCAGCCAGATGATGAGTTTGAGTTGGATGGTGGATGTTTGGATGCCCCAGCGGCTTCGAGCAGTGACCCTGCCCCGGCGGCTTCGAGCAGTGACCCTGCCCCGGCTTCGCGCAGTGAGCAGCTGGAGACTGTCCATGAAAGGTTTGATCGCCTCTCACGGCTCTATGGCTATGGTGCAGCCTTGATGCTGTGTGGGGCTGTGCAAGAGGGTGCTCACTACGATCCCTATGTGGGCCAGTGGAAGACATTGGATGGTTTGGTGTGCCCTTATATGCCTGCGACAGGATCTTCCGCTGAGCATGAAGAGATGCCGGTGGTGCCCGAGATGCGGGTGATGCCAGAGCCGGTTGCAAGTGGTGGGCATGGCCTGGATGATCCCATCTTTGGGGACATCAGCGTTTCGTCAGGTTTGCCTGAGACTCCGAACGCCGCTGAAGCAGCTCACGATGCAGCAGAGGAGTCGCATGCAGGTCACGTGCATGTGCTTGGAATAGATTTTGGTGGAATACAGATGCATGCATTCAGACAGTTTGAGTCTTGCTGTGCTTCAACATGTGTTCGTGCAGACATGCTGTGTTGTGCAATTGTTCCCTCTCTCTCTCTCTCTCTCTCTCTCTCTCTCTCTCTCTCTCTCTCTCTCTCTCTCTCTCTCTCTCTCTCTCTCTCTCTAACTATCTCTTGCTCTGTCTCTCTCACTCTTTCTTTACCGGTATATGTAGTTACAGGTATGTATATATATATATATATATATCAGTTTCTGTATTTGTATAGACATATGTCATATATAACCTCGTTTGGGTATCTCTTGAAAATGCATATAAACTCTATACAGCATAGTGCATATACATACATATGTAGCATTTCTATTACTGTTTGAATATTACTGTATATATGTATATATATGTCTACACAGCATACATACTTATTTATAAATGTATATATATATATGTATATATATATATATGCTGTCCATAAATGAACAAACCCGGAAGTGCATCGAGACCAGTTGGATTTGTTCATGTTGTCTATCTTGCATATATATATATATATGTATATATTATAGATATATGTGTCATCTTTCTTCAAAGTTTGTCATTACAGGCATATGTTTTGTGCTGATAGTTGCATGCTGCATTGGAGCACATACACACAACATCTTAGTCAGTAAATCTGCATACATGCATGACCCATGCATGTGCACATCGTATCCGTTGTCACTGGTTGCTCATCTTGAGGCCCAACATCTGTGGATGAGGTCAAGCAGTGCCTTCTCGCGAAGTTGCATGCGCAACGAGAGAGGACAGTGGGTTGAACATTGCAAGTCTATTGTGGTGTGTCATACTAGATGCAGGAATTTTGATTATATGGCTGCATAGGATCATGCTTGGATCCATGGTGGATAATGTGGACACCTGTCCGATGCTTCCTGCTGAAGCCGGTGCTCCATGGCCATCAATGTCATTGATTATTGAAATTTGGAAATTCGGTTGAGTGCTTCTGAATGCTGTGGCATAGCTGAGGAGAGTTTGGAGAGACAGAGGTTGCTCAATGGCTCCTCCCGCGAGGTGGCAACCCTGAACTTGCTGTGTAATTTTATGCTAGACCATCAAACACCTAATTTGCGAGTGCTGCTAGAGGCCTTCCCCAGCCAGATCACCATCGAGGACACACCGGAGCATGGCAAGCCGATCCTTGCCTTCAGCAAGCATCTTCATATATGCATGATGATGAAGCATGAAACTTAACTGAAATGTGCCATGCCTCTTGCAATACCATGCCTGCCTACTGGAGAGATTTGCAGAGTGGTTCGTCTTTCTTCCATATGTAACAGTTGCGCATACAAGTGCTCAAATCGCATTGCTATCATATGACTGTGTAGCAACAGTGGGTCCAGAATAAAAGGGACCAGTAGACAAGACCGATACGGAGTTAGAGGAGTGGGGAGAACTGTAGTGTAACATATACATATATAGATATGTGCATGGTCTGATCACACTTATATATGGGTGCTATTTCTGAGATGAGCATAAACTGGATCTTCAAAGCAACATCCTTGTGTGTGTACGCGGTTCTATATGTTGTGCATGTGTCCTAAGTTTGGTTCAGTGTCACACTGGGAAGTCAAATCAGGTTCAATGTGCCGATCGGAGTCTACATCGAATGATAGCTTGTGTATATATGTATACACACATATATATACATACACATATATATATAGATACATATATATATATGAATATTTATTCATTCGGAATAGTGTCATATAGATAACCTCACTAACTGTATTTGTTGTTTACGAGGGGCCGCTTTGTGGTTTATTGAGATATGCCTCGAGACTTCCCATGTGTGCTGCATGGTTGCTACATGCGAGGCTGAGTCTGTGCAGCATATGTGGCATTTCGCAAGATTGCCTTATGCTCACTCCATTTATCTCTCTATAGATATATATATATATATATGGTTATATCGCCTTCTCTTTCTAGTGTAGAAAGATATGCAAATAAGTATCCAACCAGGTTATAAAGATGAGTCTGTTTCTCTATAATAGAAGTATATGTAGATGTGCTTATGGGTATCAGAATATTGATCCAGTCACAAACCTATTCATATGCATACATTCATCACACAGCTTTATTTGTTTCTAAACTTAATATCGCTGTATCAGCATCCATATCTAAGCTTAAATAGATAAACACACACATATAACCATGTATATATATATATACATAAATATATATGTAGAATACAGATATAACATATGTTACATGTAGGTATATGTAATATATTGTATATACATATATATTATTACATGTACACTGTGTTTCATTTGCTTGTCCCGAGGGATGGATGTGAGAGTGATGATCCGGACCTGACGCAAGTGGATGCGACCCGGTTCTATGATGAGGACATGCTTTGCAGGGCCACCGAATGGAAGGAGGGGGATATTCAGGAGCCATCCTCCGGCATCCACCGATCTTTGGCGATGGACTTTGATGCTGTGTATCAAGGGCAGCATGATGTGTTGAGCCGTGCTGCTGCTCCGATGGCTCCTGTCGAAGAGGCATCGTCATCGATGCATGGCCCATGCATGGAGACCTTGCTTGAGGATGCAGATGAGCCAAAGAGTGCAGAGGAGTCCCAGCAGGAGCCAGAGATTGCGGAGGAGCCCGAGCCGGAGATGGAGAGTGCAGAGGAGCCTGAGCCCAGTTCCGGGGTTTGTGGTCCTATGCCATTGGAGGTTTTGGCGCCAGAGCCATCGGTCCATGGAAGTGAGGCGGAAGATTTGCTGCAGGTGGAGGGTGAGGCATTCGACCACCAGCAGCAGGTCGAGCTGCGGCAGAAGTTGCAGGAGAAGAATCGCGCTCGCGGCGGAGGTCGCGGTCGCTCCCGTGGCCGTGGCAGGGGCAGGGGTCGAAAGGCACCGCCGCCCAGTGAAAATGATGAAGAGAATGAAGAGTTGGTAACTCCGAATGCCAGAGGGGCTGCAGTGCCAGAGGAGACACCCATGGACAAGGCTTGCAGGACGAAGCGCGGTGCTGCCTCGGAGGAGCCTGTGGAGCCCAAGCCCAAGCGGGCGAAGGCAGCAGCGAAGAAAGGGGCGGCCAAGAGAATGATGAAGCGACCAGCTGCAGCCAGACGCATTGCTGAGGAGCAGCCCGTCCATGCTGAGGCAATCGTGCCTGAGGCAAATGGTGCAGAAGCTTCCATGCCTGATGCAGATGGGATGACCGAGCCAAGTGTGCCAGAGCCGTTGGATGATGCAGAGCCTGAGCCAAGAGTGGTTGAGCCGTTGGCTGATGCAGAGCCTGAGCCCAGAGTGCCTGTGCCATTGGCTGAAGAGCCGGAGGAGGCACCCATGGGTGGTGATGGGCATGAGGATGTGCCGGACGAGGTGGTGCCACCTCGCGGTCGTGGTCGTGGCCGTGGTCGCGGTGCCAAAGGCCTTTCCGAGGAGAATCGCAAGATTTGCAGGGCGCTGCTTGTCTGCTTAAAGTGTTGTGCAAGCTGTTGTTCACCAGATGTGCATTTTCTGTTTGCTCGACATATTAATACATATCATATCATATCATATCATATCATATCATATCATATCATATCATATATATATATATATATATTTATAACCTACATATATCTGTATGTGTATACAAATCATATTCAGAGTACAGAAGGGGGAAGTATATCATTGCAGAACCGCTATAGTCCTTTACAAATATATGACCATGTATAGTACAATATGTATATGTATATATATATAGTAATATATATATATATATATATATCTATATATATCATGTAGTCCTTGATATGTGGAATATAGAGCACTATACATCACATCATGTTTATGCATCTATATATATATGCAAGTGTTATCGCTCTATGGACGATTGACGCCTTTGTCCTAGCAGCTTGAAGCAAACATTGAGGAGTGTATGTATAATAGGCATGTAACACGTGTCTGTGTATGATATGAACACACAGATATACAAGCACACAAGTACATGCATATATGCAAATGTGTGCTTACACATGTGCCCAAATGTATACATGCAGACATGATTTTCTGGCCATGCAAGTATATTCTAGACATCGGCATGAGCAGACATACACATGTGCGTGCACCAAGACATAGACACATGTATGCATTGACCCACCCCTGCATGCAGTCATTCATGCAGGCATTCAGGGAGTCATTGATATTCAATGCTGTTCGTGCATTCAGCCGTGCACTCAAATAATCAGAAATTTGATTCATTCATTTGTGTGTTCCTTCGTTCAATCCTCATATATCTTCAAGGTGGTGCATGGGTTTTCTGCTCTGGGCATCTTGTCCTATAGAAATATATGTACACATGTCATATACTGCTTATGTTTGTCTAAACAAAGCCTTGTCCCTTTGCCCGACACCAATCATGTGGACTGAGATGTTTCAGCTGCTTCTGCGCAGTGTGTCATGTATGCAGGGGGGGAGCTGAGTCGTCGCTGGCCTACGTGATGTGATCTGAGCATCTATATCTCTACATGTAGATATACAGTGACATAGATATTCATATATATATATATATAACGTATCAATATATATATATACATTTATATATATCTATATTTACATACATCAAAATCAGACAGAAGTCTAGTCCAGCATGTAACCTTCACACCTGCATCTCTTCTGATCTGCACTATATATAATGTGTACATATATACATCTACTATAAAGACATCCAGCAAGACATATACGCATACAGTCGTATAGCACATAAGCATAAAATCAATCATATAAATATGTGTATATATATATATATATATATAATATACAAGCATGCATCAACATGCAAAGCATTAGCAATGTGCTGATCCAGGTGCTGAGAGTCTGTGTGTTACAATGTTGCAGGCTGGTCCAGCATGGGCGGAATTACAAGCTGGAGCTGTATTGGACCAGGAGTGTGATCGGAGTTCGCCAGAAGAATGGCCCACAGGTCTGGAGCATGAGCTTCAAGAATTTGAAGGTCGGCATCCTCGTGGCCAACGAGATTGTGCCCTGGTTCAGATGCAATATGTAGTGAGATGCTGATCTGAAGAATGGGTAATCCCAATCATGTGTTGATTGTGAACTGCTCAGGTCTCCCTGTTGGATCGTGATATGAACATCCATGGTGAGGAGATGACGAATACCATCAGGAACTTCCGTTCAGAGCTTGAGGAGCAGTATGGAGAAGTTTGGCCGTGAGCAAAGCTCATGTGAGCCTCGATTTTCACATGGAGGCAAAGGCATGTCTGTTCTATCCAGGCCCACGGGCCTTCAAGTAAAGTGGTCTTTGAAAGCAGATGGTGACTGAACATGCCTGGACCTTCAGATGGAGGAATGGCATTCTGTAGGGATAGTGCGGCTGTGGTGACACCCAACAGGGGAGGCAAGACCAGGCCAGCCTGTAGACCTTGCCCGCTTTTGAACCAGTGGTTTTACGACTGACTGGAGGGTACTGTGGTGTGCATAGCTTGCAAACCTTACATGCCAGATGGGGCCCTCCATATGACTTCGCAGATCTTGATGTGTGCTCGGAAAGAAACAGCTGAGTGTAGTAGCATTTTTCAAAGCTTCAGTTCATGTGCATTCAGCCCATCGAAAAGAGTCAGTGCAGCTCACATGTACAAGTTCATTGGTGTGGTGAGGTCTCAACCAATGCCCGGCAACAAGCGGCTGCTGAAGCTAGCTTCTTTGTCGGATACAGGTGCGCTGGGATTTGCAACCGGTTTGCTCGATTGCCAAACTGCTCGGGGACAAGAGACATAATCACGGTGGTACTGCATGCATCTGTGGTGCTGCTACAGGAGCTGATGACCGGAAGAATGCCCTGTCACAAGGCTCGCCATGTCTTTGGATTCGGGGGATGATGGGACAAAATCCGTACCTCCGTGTGCATGTGTGATTATCGACTTGCTGCTGTTCTATAGGTTCCATGCATACACTTGGTATGTGTTTGTATTTCGGACTTTTACCAGTGCTAGCTCAGTATGAAGCAGATGTGCATACGTAGCATTACACATACATCTTGTGTGTGTATATATATAGTATATGTGTATGTATTTGGATCTGCATGTGAATGTCTAGGTATTGCAGATAGTTGTTGCTGGGATGGAACGATGTGTGCAGTCACTATATAGGTGTTCTAGGTGTTCTATCGATTTCTGGTAGGTATAACTATATATATATACATATATATATATATGTATGTTGGGTTCTATAGAAATGAGACAGAATGGAGCAGCAATTCTAGATTGTGTAGATGTCGTGAGAAGGATCCTGAAGTAGACATGCAATCGACGCCATATATATATATATATATATATAGCTCTGCTCGAGTGTGAAGAAACAAGTGCACTTCGGCTGGCCAGGTTCCAAGCGCAAGCCTGGTGATGGAGCTGGCAGTGCGCCATGGAAGGGTCGGTCTGATGCATGTGCTGAATAAATAAATACAAGTATTAATGTATATATATATATGGGCATCTCTCCCTGCTCTTGCATACATGCACGTACCTTGTTGGATGGCAAATATATATATATATATATATATATATATGTATATATATATATACATACAGATACACATACAGGTACAAAGATATGCACAAGGTACATCTACATATGGATTTAGGTAAATCTATATATATATATATATAGATATATATACACATGTTTGTTTGGGTTTATGTGTGTATGTATATATATATATATATATACATATTATACATATTATACATATATATATATATATACATCTATATACATGTATATATTTGTGCATGCATGTCTGCCTCGTCTTGCCCGGATCTTTCATGTTCGAGAGATGACAGGCTCTGCAGTCATGCTGGATGTGGGTCTTTGCATATGCAGTCTATGTAGCCTGTTGTCATATATGCTTGAGTTGGAAGTATGTCTATTGATAAGGGGGCCCAGACTTTATGATTACTTTTTCATAGAAGCTGCAGGAGCAGCCTGCCTTGTTTTTTGTTTGCTTCTGGGAGTTCATAGCTTCAAGCATCATGGCACAATGGTCCCTGGATGTGTTGGTGCGAAAGCTATATGCTGGCAACATTCCATATGCTTGCTGGCTGCAAATAGTTTCGCTCGTCATGAACACCCTCTCCAGTCAACAGGTATTCGGAAAAGTCCTAGGTTCTTTGTGTTGCCATCCTCCTCCTGGTCTACAATGTGGACTTGGACAAGACCTGGGTCCTTGACTGAAATCGTGGATTCGTCCTGCTTTACCTGTCTAGGGATTGTCATGCCAGTGTGAGCATATGCACATGTTCAGCAGAGCAGAATATACATTGGAATATGTTCATCAGAAAATAAACACATATTCAAGGTTTAGGGTTTAGGATTTAGGACCTGGAATGCCTATATGGCACACCTGCTTGCTCCGCAATGCAAATGGATGAAGATTCGGGTGTCTCCAGCCGAATCAGCTGTTCTGCAACCCTAAAACATGGAACTCAAATCCTGGTTCCATACATGGATGAAGATTTTCATTTGGTGTCTCCAGCTGAATGAGCTGTTCTGCAAGCCTGCTTGCTTGGCAGATGGCTTATATATTTGTGGTCCCAGCCGTTCGGCAACCCTGCTTGCCCTGTAGATGACTTATATATTTGTGGCCCAGCCGAATGAGCCGTTCTGCTCACCTGCTGAGTGCTCGGTTTGCTTGGGGTGTAGTGAAGGAAAAACATGTGTGTGTGTCTGATATTCATATGTGTCCACATCATAAACACACTTACATATACAGCATATATCCATATAGATACAAATCGATACTTTCTATATACTGTACATACATGTTTCCCTGCTTGAGGCATACAAATTTGGTGAGCTCTTCGCGGGTGTTGCCAATGTCACGGCTGCTGTGAAACTCCGTGGCATTCCAGCCTTCAAGATGGACAAGATCTATTTTGAGGGCTTTGATTTCTTAACGCCTGCAGGGTTCTCGTCCCTGGGATTGCTTCAGTGGAACTTACTTGGCAACAGGACCACAAGATGACATATACTATGTTATATATTTATACAAACATAAATATAGATACAGTTATATATATATATATGTATATATACATATAGATGTATGTGCATATATACAGTATACTGTCTGTATATAGATACATACATGGATTTCCATTTCATGTGTTGCCAAGGCTGGCGCTGTTGTCTGTATTGCGGATGGCTCCACGAAGTGTGCTACTAATGGCGCCAGATTGCAGCAGCTTTTCTTGGATGAGCAGCAGTGGATCTCAGCGGTACTGGTTCGCTCCTCTTGGGGACACTAGCAAGGAGTGGGTGGTCCGGGGAAATATGATGGCATCCAGGTGCCTCATGTGGGAAGCATGCATCAAGTTGAGACTGTCCTTTTATGAACAGTTGGTTTCCTGGATCTATCCAAATTTACACAACGTGTCTGCCAGGGTCATCTTGCTGGCCCACCTCGCAGCGGTGCTTGGCCATGTGTTCATCATTGAGCAACCTGGTAGTGCTCGCTTTGGGGACCTTCCATGTTGGAGACATTTCGTCGAAAACATTTGCTATGTTTCTTGCTTCAATTCAGAGTTGGTGGAAGCTGTAGGACAAGCAGTGGTGACAGAAGTGAAGAATATCACATGCGATGAAGCAATATGATCTTCCTTCATGCATGATATATATATATATATATATGTGTATATATATATGTACATTTTATTGAACAAACAGAAAGTCTACACACACAGGAGATACCCAACTCAACTCAGTGTCTGTTGATTCAGATGCTATAAAAGTAGGCATAGCCACATGCATGTAAATTGTGACCTGGCTTAGCAACAATATTTGTCTCTGTACATGTCTACGAGATGACAAGTATAAGTATGTGAATGAACACATTTTGTGTTGATAGAACCACACACCTGCATGAACAAAACTATTTGTATATACATATATAACATAGACATGTAGATGTCTGCATAATACATATATATATATATAAATGTTGGTGTGTGCTGGTATATACGAAAACATATAGGATATATGCTCTGTCGCTATAAATATATATGCATGATGATATTTCTATATACACCTGTCTTGGCTGTCTGTATAAATGTTTTCCGAGGTCTTCAAGCAAAAGCTCTACATGGCTATGCATGGTGGCACAAGTGCGAAAAGCACTTGCCTCTGGTCGAACAGCTGGCACATTGCTTACTTAAACCTGGGACCCATCCCCAAAGTGCCTTGTCCCATGCTTGAGGAAACAGTGTACCACATGCTTTCGAAATCTGTTTGTGCATTCAGCTTGCTGGCTGAGTCCAAAAGAGCTGCCTTGGTTCCGGTCGCGAAGTACTACACTGATGTTCGAGGAGTTCGGCGGTCGACGGGCAAGCAACGTCTCCTCCGAGCAAGCCAGAGCTGTTCTGAGAATGGTGTTGTCGTGATCAAGTCAGTGTGGATGGTGCATGAAAGAGAGATATGTGGCATGCTTCACATGACTCATCTTAGGACATACCCTGTGGGCTTTGGCAATGCTTTGGCGGATATCCTGAAGAAGATGCATGAAGGTGTCCGAGGGCTACGCATCGGGAATGTTTCTCAGCTAGTTCCGATGCCCTTCAGATTCCCATATGTGTGTATCTATATATATATATGTACATATCTCTTTTTAATTAGAGTTATATATATATATAGATATATGTATGTATAGGGAAGGGAAGCTATATTATGCATGCTTTAGATCATTGTCCCTCTGTATTGTATATCTATACATAACTTAATATATAATAGATTAGAACAAATTTCAAAACAATAATATTTGCATAATAGTATTTTACCGTATGTTATGTAGATAACAATGAAACATGAATCGCAATAACATATTACATAATTTAGTAATGCCTGGTAAAAATACCATATGTATATATATATATATATATATATGTAATATAGCAATATGTGTTGTACGTGTTTATCAATTAGTGTCATTTGTTGGGTTAAGCATATATCTGCATTTGGCAATATATATATATATATATATATATATTTATTTTTATATATATTTATATATATTTATACATATTTGTTTATATTTATATAGATTGATTTGTATACATGTATAAATATGTATATACATATCTTTCCTGCCCAGGATGATGCTGGCATCCGGACCACGAACCTCTTGCTCCTTATGCAAGCAGATCAGGACTTGTGGAAGCCAGCGGACATGGACAGTGTAATCAAATATTTGAATGCTGCCAAATCACTGGTGATGCCTCCCGAAATCAGGTCTGTCCTTGGACTTTAAATTCATTACTTATGCAAAGACCCTTTGTGTCATCTGCATTGGTGGCCCTGCAATTCATAAATGCTGATGCAGCCACCGAGGCTGTTGCATGTATCGTGCAAGCAATTGGAGCAAAAGAGCTTCGGGCCATATCCTTGTCATGATGTGATATCTTACATTCATATATAAACATGTACATGCATGTTTATATCTCATATTTATATATATATATAATATGTATGTACATATATATCTTTTTTTCCTATTCAGCAGGACATTACTGCAAAATGGTTTCCCAACAACCCCATGATTCCAGGCTCGCACGCCAGGCTCGTTCCATACGCTCAAAAATGGTTTCCAGAAACCATTTTTTCTATGCTAACCCCTCCAAAACGCTTCAAACCAAAAAAATCAAAAAAATCCAATTGAACGCTTTTGCACGCATTTGCACGCGAAACCACTTTTTTTGCACACGAAACCATTTTTTTTGCACGCAATTGCACGCATTTTTGGCCTTGGTGCCCGGGCCCTGGCAGCAGCTAAAAAAACCATTTCCTCACGCAACATCAGTGAAAAAACCATTTTTTCCCACGAAACCACAGCCAAAAGCACAACAGGCAGCCATAGCCCAACGGAAAAAACCATTTCTGCCAGGAAACCAGTTTTGCCCGCATCTTCTGGAAGCCTTGCCACTCCAAACCTTGAGCCCAGACCCCAAAAACCATTTTTGACCGCAAACAGCAAGCAACAGAAACCATTTGTATCAGAGAAACCATTTTTTACCGCATCTTCCCTAGTTGTGGAAGATACGCTGGAATTCCGAGTTGCAATTATATATGTATATATACAATATATATTATATTACATTATATATATATAGATATATATATATATACACTTCTAAGCAAAAGACTGCGTTCAAATCTGGTTTTGGTTCAACTGTTTTTGAACGCAGTTGCTGTCATGCACCGCAAGACAGCGTTCAATTATGGTTTCGGTCGAATCTAATTCCATGCAGCATACTACAGAACTTTATGCGTGCAAAACTGGTTCTCGAGGAACCAGTTTTGAACGCATCTTCCGTGTGATGTGTGATATATGTATATATAATATTCATGCATGTATATATATATATATATATATATATATATACATATATGTAATATATATATATATATAGAATACACTTATATAAGTGTATATTACATTATATAATTATATAATGTAATATACACTTATAAAGTGTATTATATACATTGCATGATTACCAAAAGCACAAGCCCAGTATCGGAAAACCATTTGCATCAAAAAAACCATTGTTGAACGCATCTTCTCTAGTCGTGGAAGATACGCTGGAATTCCGGGTTGTATGGCTATGAAACCAATCATGTGGTTTCAAAAGCTTATAATATATATATATATATATATATATTATAATAATATATATATATATATATATATTATTTATATATATATATATATATATATACAGCGTTCAATTTGGGTTTTGAATAATTTTTTTTGAATGCAAATGCATTTATCACTCATAAAACAAAACAAAAGATTGCGTTCAAATATGGTTTTGGTCGGACTGTTTTTGAACGCAAGTGCACATATATATATGCACCTTATATAGATGGTTGTCGTACTATATGCACGGAAGATGCGTTCAAAGGTGGTTCCTCGACAACCATTTTGGAACGCATCAAGTTTTCAATTATATACTATATACACGAATATATACGGTTGCGAAACCATAATTGAACGCATTCTTGTGCTTATCGCTATATCAGAAACAGTTCGACCAAAACCATATTTGAACGCAGTCTTGTGCTTATATATACAGATGATCAGAAACAGTTCGACCAAAACCATATTTGAACGCAGTCTTGTGCTTATATATATATATGTATTTATTTATTTATATATTTATATATATATAATATATATATATATTATGATCAGAAACAGTTCTACCAAAACCATATTTGAACGCAGTCTTGTGCTTATATAATATATACAGATGATCAGAAACAGTTCGACCCAAACCATATTTGAACGCAGTTTTGTGCTTATATATACAAATGATCAGAAACAGTGCGACCAAAACCATATTTGAACGCAGTTTTGTGCTTATATATACAAATGATCAGAAACAGTTCGACCAAAACCATATTTGAACGCAGTTTTGTGTTTATATATTATATATATATATAGATGGATCTATGTAATTCATGCACTTGTTTTGCATACATATATCATATATGTGTTTTTGTACTTCAGGTTCTATACAACCATGCATGCCGGAATTCCAGCGTATCTTCCACGACTAAATAAGATGCGTTCAAAAATGGTTTTTATGATAGAAATGGTTTTCTGATGCTGGGCTTGTGTTACTTGAACTCAACGTATAATATATATATATATATATTGTTATATATATAGGTGCCCAATTATGGTTATATCGGAACCTTTTTTTTACGCATTGGCTGTGTGGTCTTGCATGCGCCAGGTACTGATGATGCCATGGAGGTCTACAAGAAGAAGCGTGCCGAAGCAGGTGCACCCCTCCTCGCCTTGCTTTTGTGCAGCTTTGCTGCTGGGCTGGTGGCATGTCATGCAGATACATGTGTATATATATATACTGCATATCATGTCTATAAACCAGTTATAAACCATATATGTTTGTGTCTGTCTGCATGGGATCTTCGCATGTTATATATAATTTACACAAATAAGCTTCCTGTCTCAAGTCCAATACATCATAAACATATATTCATACATGTGTATCTTCATATATATATATATGTACATATACATGTATGCACTCTGTCATGTGCTTCTGCTGGGAGTCACTGCTGCTGCACATGTCAGTCGCATGGAGTTGAATCTTGACGATCGCAGATTTTTGCTGAAGCCTCCTGATTGTGGTCTTTGCTAGCTGTCTGTTGATGGCCCTACAGGGCGGTGCTGCTAGAAGTTTGAGCTGTTCTACTCTGATGAAGGGTGCAGGGCAGCTCGCACAGCAGCCGCAGCCATGTCATCAGTTCACGCCGGTGAGAGTGTCTCGTCGCATTGCAGATCGGATTGTGTGCCTTGTATAGGGTGAAGAAGTGCATGTTTCACTTTTGCTGAACACCCAGGTGAAGCAGGAGCAGGGACATCACTGGGTGGATGCTGAGCTGCTGAAGACGTTCAGCCCAAGGACCCGGTCTATGCTTTCACGTCTTCCTGACACACCGCAGTCAAGGGTTCTGCTGCAACAGATGTTGGATGTTCATGGTGCCTACTGTCACTTGTTCGCAGTTGCATTGTGCATTTCTTTCAGAGATGCTGTTGCAGAGAGCAGCACATGTTTCATTTGAACCATTTTGGGATTCTCGCATAGGGATTGCTTTGGAAAGGTGTCAGGGTAAGGGATGGTTCCTTGATGTCCTTCCAGCAGCATGTGCAGTTTCTTGATCCTGAAGTCGTTGACCTCATGAACTAGAACATGGAATACCTTGCTACTTCAAAACTTACCATGTAATACTGAGCATGGAGATTCATGCGACAACAAAACAGGAAGCCTATGACATATCTGTTCATATATTACATGTCGGCATATGTATGTATATATATATATATATATATATATAAATGTGCACATATATATATATGTGTCTGACATCTATGTAAATACTTATAAGAATAGACATTTAAATATACATATATAAATATACATATGCTAGCATGTATATATATATATATATATATATATATTCCGCACACACACACACACATGTTAGACAGAGCTTCGGTACTGTATGTACATTCACTCTGTGCAAGCACATTGTGTGCATGTACATGTGTCGGTGTATATGTATAGAATGTGTGCATGTATAAAACATATAATATGTGCAGAGGTCTTCTTATATTCTTCTTGCATGTGGATGATTGCACAGACCAGCAAGTACTTACATGGCGGTCTTTACCGAACTGCATGCATGCTTCTTCGCATGAAAGTGCACACGTGCACACACATATGTTCACACACATAGGTGTTACCACAAAGACAGGCACATAATTGCATGCATGGCTACAGTGCTCCATCTTACATAGGTTGATATCTCTCTTTATATATATAGTTATACAGAATGCAATAGTACATTGTATATGTATATGCACGACAGACAAACATACATATACATATACATATACATATACATATACATATACATATACATATACATATACATATACATATACATATACATACATATATATATATAGGTATACATACTCGCAAGAATAATACAAATGACATCATCGATATGTGTGTACATATACCTATATACATACATATACATATATATGTGAGTGCATGTGTATATATGTGTATAATATATATATATATATATATATATATATATGTAGGTGCATGTATATACACATATTACAGTCGATGTACAATGTGTGTATATATATATATATATTGTGTATGTATACATATCAAGTATATATACTCAAAATACCACATCTATACATCTATACATCTATATACATACACACATATATAGATATGTATCTCCATTGCATATGTATATAGACATATCAATATATTATATGTACACATACACATGTATATGTATATGTATATATATATATATATATACATCTATACACATACATTGCTGCTTTGTGGAAATCATGGGCATGCATGGAAGATCTTTGTTCTCCAATTCTTGGCTCACGTAAGGTGCCCCGACAAAACACGTGTCTGTGGAGCCCAAGATGGAGGCGGACGGTGCAAAGAAACGCACCCCGCCGACCCCTCCCCCCCCTCCCCCCCCCCCCCCCCCCCTCCACCACCTCCTGTGCCATGCTACCAGGTGCCTACGCCAGTGGATGTTGAAAGGCAGAGGATTGCGTGTGCTCAGTTGGAGGAGGCCAAGAACCTGTTCGCAGTGAAGCGTGGAGTGCTCGTGCCGCCTCCACGTCGTGCTGTTGCAGAGCTCGTGCCGCCTCCACATCGTGCTGTTGCAGAAGTTCAGCCTCCACAGAAGCCTCCGCCTGGGACACCGCAGAAGGCGATGCCAAAAGGAGGAGGGGAGCATGGAGCGAGCCCGGGTGCTGTGCAGAGCCCACCGCTGAAGAAGCAACGGCCTGCTGATGAGGAGACCCAAGGTGATGGTGACAGCCGCGAACTTCATGTGCACAGCTCCGGTGCGGTCTTGATGACAAAGGATGGCCGCTTGCATCTGATGCCCAAGCCGAAGGTCCGATCTGAGGAGCGTGGACTTACAGCAGAAGAGCCAAGGACGACGGCTACGGTGCAGCAGGTGCCAGTGCAGGCTGCAAAAGTGCAGCCTCAGACGGGGCCTGGGCCAGCGCAGTCTCAGGCAATGGGCTCTGGGACCATGGGGCCTGGACCAACAGTGCAGTCTCAGGCAATGCGGCCTGGGCCAACAGTGCAGCCTCAGGCAATGGGGCCTGGGCCAGTGCAGCCTCTGGGCCAGTGCAGCCTCAGGCAATGGCGCCTGGGCCAACAGTGCAGCCTCAGGCAATGGGGCCTGCTCCGCGAACAGAGCCGGGATCTACGCCTCAACGAACCGAGCCGAGATCAGTGCCTCAGCAGGAAATGGGGCCTGGGCAAGCAACGCAGCCTCAGATGGGGCCTGGGACAGCAGTGCAGCGTCAGATGGGGCCTGGACCAGCAACGCAGCCTCACATGAGGCCTGACCCAGCAATGCAGCCTGAGATGGGGCCTGGGCCGGCATTGCAGCCTCAGAAGGGGCCAGGAGGGCCAGCAGGGCAGCCTCAGCAGTGCATGGGGCCAGGAGTGCAGCCGCAGCGGATGGGTCCAGGAGCAGTGCAGATGCAGCCGCAGCCTCAGCCAGCAGTGCAGCCTCAGATGGGGCCTGGGCCAGCAGTGCAGCAGCAGATGGGGCTTGGGGCAGTGCACATGGGGCCGTGCCTTCAGCACGTGCCTGTGCCAACAGCCCCTCTCATGCGACCAATGCCGGTGCCTATGCAGCAGATGCCAACCATGCAACCGCAGATGGGACCTGTGCCGATGATGGGTTTCCAGCAGCAGAGCATGCAGATGGGTTCTGTGTGGCCCCAGCAATGTTCGCCTGGTTCGCCTGGGATGTCTACATCTCCGCAGATGGGGGTCCCTGTGATGACAGGCCCTGTAATGCAGGGTTGCCTTCCACGCCTGCCCGGTTCTGCTGCTGGGTCTCAGCCGCACGGTGTGTCACCAGCAATGCCGACAACGAGACTCCCCACGCCGGAGAGTGCATCTATTGACGCGATGTACGACTGCCTGAAAGTCTTGGTTGGATGTCAGGGTGGAGCTCAGCTGCCAGAGGACTTGATGCTGAAGTACGAGGATTTGCTGGTACACTGTGCCAAGGCCAGGGCAGGATCATCGCCTGTGGCGCAGTCGCACCCGGTGGCGCAGGTGGAGCAGCCGGCCCAGAGAATGGAGCAGGTGGTCGAGCAGCCTGCCCAGCAGGGGTGTGAGAGAAATGCGGATGGCAAGGATGTGGTGATCGATGTGGAGCCGGCTCAGCCGAAAGCTGTGCCAGAAGAGAGGCTGTCAGTGACGACGACATCCCCATCGCCGTCCCCGGACAAGGATGCAGCAAGTGGCCACCGAAACGGTGGGGACACAGCGTGACTTGGCAGAGAGCATGCATTTGAAAAAGATGGCTGAGTGATTGAATTCAGATAGCTGAGATAGCCATATAATTTTGTGAATTTGGTATGCATTGATTGCTGCCTGCAGGAATGCAGTGGAGAAGGTGAACTCCAAGTCGCATCCAGAGGCATGGGGAGCCCTCTACCGATATGTTGCTGGGAAGTCCAGCAAAAACAAGGATCCGGCAGTGCGAGCAGAGATCTTGCAGAAGTGGCAGACAGGTGCTTGGCAATGCAGTTGGGATTTGTATGTTGTGTTTGTGTGCCTCGAAACCCTGTAACATGCATCAGCGCCTGTATATATATATATATATATGTATTTACAAGTTTGACTTGTGTGTATATATATATATCTCTCTATATATATGCATATCTATATTCATGGTTTTATTTGGTCATATAGATAGTATATGTATATATAGCTATATATACTATAAAAAAATATGCAGTCAGAAAATACCGAGGGAATGAGAGAGTGTGTGTGTTGGCTGCTTGACTTGTCTCCATGCATGGAATGCATGGTTTAGATGTTGCTTTAGCATGAACCTTGGGTGCAGCAGTTATGCATGCACTGTGTAGTCTGGGTGTATGTTGGCTAAATATCTTGATATCCGTACATATTGAGTATCTGGATATATTTACATATAATAACAAATCTTGAACACATATATATATATATATATATATATATACACCGGAACCACTCTATGTCTGAGAATCTCTCTCTTCTTCTCTTTCTCTCTGACTCACTGTATATATATATATATATATATATATATATATATATATATTTCTTATAACCTATATGCCTAGTCATAGTTTTATTTCATTATCTCTCTGTCCACTTTGCTCATTATCTATCTGTCCACTTTGCTTTGATGTTTGAGTCCTTATCTCCTTCTGTTGATCTATACGTATATATGTATCTATATATATATATATATACATGTAGAGAATATGCCTGTGTGGGCCAGTGAAATGTTGCCTGGATATGTTCAATCGGTGTGCAGCAGTCCATACATGTCTGACTCGAATAGCACTGGCACCTATTCCATCATGTGTTGCAGGAGGGCTCGTGAGGCAGAAGCTCCTCAAGGAGTTTATCGAGAAGTGCTTCCAACCCATGAATCCTCATGGGAATAATGTTTTTCCGCTGCAGATATTGCAAGTGATTTGTTGTGTCTAGTTCAACCCTGCAGTAATGAGTTTGTTCAGTGGTGCTGCAGGCTCGCCTGGAAGCTGTGTTCAAGCTCCGCCAGATGAGCCGTGACTGGCGCAAGACCCTCCAGGGATTCGAGTGGTTGACAGCAGATGACATGAAGCAGTTGGGCTGGTCGGAGTGTCTTGGCCGAGCATAATTTTTCAGAGAATGTAAATAATAGTGCTCATTGAGGTCAGACCATGAACCCAAGGTGGATTCATGTGTACTATTACTGATCTGTATATATACAGGCTATTCTGAAGGTCTTGGCAAGAGAGGCAGATACAGGCTGCATTTTGCAAATGAGTACATGTCTCTATGCTAGATAGTTTAGAATGCATGTATAACATGTCCAAGAGTTTTTCAAGGCTTAGCTTCAAATTGATGCATCTCAGAGTGGTGCCTATTGAAGATGATGGCTGTGGTGCTGTAAATGACCTCTTGACCCGTTCATGATGGAGCATGAACACCCATACCCAGACCATAAGATATAAACAAACTTTGAAACATACATTATAATACATACATACAGGGAAGATGTGTATACATATATATATATATATATATATATACAAAAATCATGGATGCATGTCTATATATATATATACATCTTTAAACATATGTATATATATATATATATATGTATGTGTATATATATATATATAACTATATGGTACCGGTGCTTCCTAGATGCAATGTGCAGGTATGTCCATGTGAGCAAAAAATTTCTATCTTGCTGCAGCCTGCCTGTCTAAGGAAAAAAATCCTCGGGGCCATAGCCCACTGTGAAAAGAAAAAGCTCTACAAGAAGTGCCCGTACGAGAATATTCGCAAATACTTAGTCCTCACATCTGACAAGGTGGAGTATCTGAGCTGCATCTGGGATCCACGTCTCAGCTTCATGCATTGATGGCTGTGCCAGAACCTACCTGAGCATGTGTGCATGTGTGCTTGCTATCGCAGTGGGTTGGGGCAGTGTTTCCTGTTCAGTTGAGATCCTGACAAGGCAAGGTGCAGAAAGGATGCAAGAACTGGAGGCCATATTGGAAGACTGTGGTGACTTGTTCGCATTATGCTGCGGATTCGGGAGTGATGTTCTATATAAGATTTGTGCATAGGCACTTTCAACGAGAACTTCGACATGACCCTTGGGATTGGCGACCTCATGCTCGAGGAAGAGGATGATCGTCAGGAGGGTAAGCCGAAGCCGAAGTTGGTGGGCGCTCTGCCGGAGGTCGAAGGTGAAGAGTCGGTCACAGACTACTTGTCTAAGTTCAAGCGGGCATGCCTTGGCAAGAAGCAGCAGCACCGAGACATCCTGGAGAGATTGAAGGATGACAAGGTCACGGGCCACGAGCTGCTAACCTGCACTCTTATCATACCTATATGCTGCATGTACTGCACTCCCTATATATATATATGTATGAGGATTACAGTGATATCTATATATGTCTATATATATATATAGACATACATATATAGAGAGAGTAATGTATATGTGTATGAATGTATATATATATATATATATATATGTAAAATAATTTGGGCATGCATGTTTCTTCATACAACTATATCAAAATACCTACCTCTGTCCAAAAATATACATATGCATACATATACTATATTACATATGTATATATATATATATATATATATATATATTAATAGTTGTTGTGTGCCAGCTGATGCTGACTCTCTCTCTCTCTCTCCCTGTCCGTTTCTGTGATTGATGATTATGGCATGTTGTATGTTGAATGAGTACAATGATCAAGGCAGGATTCGCAACGGCTTGACAATGAAATGGGCTGCTTGGTCTGCCTTAAACCAGCCTTGATTTGTTCATATATCCTCACTCCAAGTCATGTGAGACTTCAAATACCAAGGCAACCTGAACACCCTCTACCAGAAACTCTGTGATGAGGAGCTGACCCGCAAGAATGCGCCAATTGGCAATAAATAGCTGGTGTATGTCCTGCCTGAACCTGAATATATGATTGGTGTGTTTGCACATGTTGCCTAAGGTCCAAGGCGGATTTCGTTGACATCACGGACAAGATCAAGGAAGCGTTGCTTCGTTTCACGAACAGTTTGAACGCCTGCAAGCCTGAAGCTTAGAATTCTCAGATTCTACTTGTGTATTGGTACTTGTGTCAGGCTTGTTGCCTGTTGCCAATGCTGTCTCATATATGTGCATCGTTAAGTGTTCATGTGCTGCTTCTGTCTGTGCGCCCACAACAGAAAGTATTACAATACATATATATATATATGTGTGTGTGGTGTGAGCATGTCTATATATATATATATACAGAATCTGTTGTAATTTGTGTGTTGATGTGTGGAGATGATTGATCGCATGAGGGCATGGGTTACAGAAGCATCAATGCTGAGGACATGTGTGCATGATGTCCCGCCAGCTATATCATATTCATCTGGTTATGAACAGCTATCATTTGCTTGGCAGGCTTCTTGTGTCGAGTATTCTTGCCTATGCAGTAAATGCCACTGTGCTTCTTGTCCTGGCTGTATACCATGAGTATGTTCCTCGCACCCCGCATCCAATCCACAGGGCCCCAATGTCTATATGCCAATCTGCATAAACATGCAATGAATGTGAGTGAGCGGCAACCTTTTGGGATGCAAATAACAATGCAGCTGACATCCATTCAATGTTTGTTGAGGTCTTACTTGCGCAAGGTGTCGCAGCCGAAGCAAAAGGCCAAGGGAAAAGCAAAGGCAAAGGCCAAAGACGAGGATGATGATCAGGACGGCCAGCCGATGTGACTGGATGACTGTTTGGGCTCCAGCTTTTGAAGTGCTCTGTGCATGAAGTTGCCATGAGCCGGCTTTCGAATTGTGCAGGTCCCACGTTTGTTTGAGCATTGTGCTTGCTAGAGACATCTAAATGCTCGGGTGGTTGCAATATGCAGCATACATGGTGTTGCATTCGTGGGCATGTGCTTCTCCAGAGTATCTGATCCCGTCAGCAGTGTTGCACGTCGCCGCGGCTGAAAGATGCAAAAAGAACTCTGCCACAGCTGATGATTTTACAGGTAGATAGTTAGACCTTGAAAGGAAACAGCACTCTATATGTGTATATATATATATATATATATATAGGGATTGAACACGGATACCAAAATCACCTGTGTATTCTAAATATTTCTATAACATATACATATACATATATATATATATATATATACACATACATGCTTGTTTGCCAGACTCATGCATGTGAGTACATGCATGTATCATTGTGCATGTGCTTGTGTCTATGTCCATGACCATGTCTGTTTATGTGCATGTGCATACATAAATATGTATGTGTGAGCCCTTCTATGTATACACATATAGATATATTATATGTTTTGTCTGTTTCTGCAACTGCATGACAAGTCTGTTCATGCATCTGTATGTATGCATACAACATATATATATATATATATTAATATACAGATGTCTGCATATGTACATGCCTGCTTGCATGCATGTAAACATGTCTGTATGTAGATATCGGTAGAAGTATGCTGCTTTATCTTTTTATGCCTGCAACAAGACATCATACTCCGAACTCGAATGTACAGGAACAACTTGCATGCAGGAATGTATGCATATAGACAGTTCCCTCGCGCAGGTGCCCGGGTCGTTCAGAATGTCCTCAAGACCTACATTGCTCCTCGGCATTACATGCTGAAGCAAGCTGCTTCTGTGAGTGTGTGTGTGTGTGTTGCAAATAAATATATAAGGACCATAATGCTGCTGAAGCCTCCCGAGTTGCATACGACAATGGACAGACAGCAGCAGATGGGGATGCGTGGAAGAACACATACATCCAGCTGGGATTGGCACACAACTCCACGAGTGACAAGGAGACAGTGTTTCTGGGAAACGTGCAGGCTCTGGGCTTCACGCTAGAGACACAAGTGCAAATGAAGACTGTGGAATTTCCGGGTGGCCCGAGGGCTCACCCTGTTCTGCCGATGAAGCAGCTGGCGACAGAGATTCTCCGAGATTATCCGAAATTGCTATTGTTTGGGCATGAGTATACGGATTTGGTGAGAGTGGAGACGGAATTGGCACAATTCTGGGCCCGGTTCCGCAGCACCTGGCCTGACCATGATGTTTTTATTACTCACGGAGACCATTTGCAAAGATGCATACCAATCAGAACACATGCTGATGAAGGCACCAGTTTCCGGCGAGCTGGAATCTATCAACAAAGCTGGGGCCCTATTATGAAAGCAGGGCTGAGGAGTTCACTGCATTGCTTCTTTTACGCGGCAATGCTGGCTGATGACTACAAGGATGCAACCAGGGTCAGTTGACAGGTCCATGTTGGCATCAGAAGTTATCTGTCAAAAAGTCATGGTGCTGTATGTGTAGACAAGTATAGTTAATTCTATATCTATATATATATATATGTATACATGTTCATTATATATATATGTATACGTTGCCTAAACATTTATTCTATATGTTTGTTTAAAGCATGATATAGCTTTTCATTTATGTGTATTTCTTCCCCCCATTTCATCAGGATGACCACGCTGGCTTTGGGCAAGGCAACAAAACCCTGGATGGCCTTCTGAGGCACTTCGTGCAGGATGCAAGAGACTGCTACTACAATGGCGTTTGTTCGAGAAATGGGAAATTCTACCTTGTGCTGCTCCGTCTTGAAGGAGATTTGCCAGCCCAGGCAAAGCTGGCACATTCAGGCCGCAGCTTTACGAATGACCCGAACCCGATGTGCCCGTGGTGCTTAGCGGATGGAAGGGAAATGCCATTCGGGGACTTCCGCCGGAATGCCAAGTGGCGCTCGACGATTGCAACCTCACCTCCTTGGAAGACATCGAGTCCTTTGCATGATCTGCCGGGAGGTGAAGATGACAGATTCCTGGCCAAGGATTTGTTCCACATAACCCACTTGGGTATAGCGAGGACCTGTGTTGCATCTGTGATATGCTTTTTGATTGCGATTGGTGGGCACTTCCACCCCAGTGAGGGTGGTACGTCGGTGCCGGCATGCTTGAAAGAGGCCTACAAAACCTTCGCTTTCTTTTGCAAGAGCATCCTACACGAGACACCGGATGTCAAGACCTTCTCACGAGACAACCTGGGCTGGCAGTCTCTAGCGAAGATGCCGGAAGCTTCGTGGATTCTTGGAAGTGATAAAGCACTGTTTTCATGAAGTATGGTGTTCTGCATGAAGTGATAAGCTTCCTGTCTTGAAGTGGGTCCTATTTGAAGTCGTTTTCTTTTATGCAACATGGTAACCTGTATATCAAGCATTGGCAACCATGTGCAAAGATCGATTCCTGGTAAACCGGTAGACCTTGAATAGTTAAACAAACAAATATAATAGAGTTTATAAATATATAAATAAATATATATATATATATATATATATATATTAATCACACACACACACACCCTATATAACCTCATGTTTTGTGCAGCCTGGGCTGCAAAGTGAGCATGAGTGTCGAGACTTTTTTTCTATTCAGGAAGGGCTCTGATATCCGCTTGCTCACGAAATGGCTGGTGGACTATCTGTCGAGGCCCTGGCTATTCGATGAGGTCACTGTGCATGTGTACGATTTTCTTACAGCGCTCGACGACTTTCATCACCTGTGTTATGTGGATTCGAATCGGGTGTGGATGGACAATGCACAGATGCGGACTGGACGATCGCTCCTCGGCCGTTTTTTTGCAAGCTATGCGAAGGCTGCTCAGATGTGCCATGCTCGAAGGTGGTTGTTCTTTAACATCACCCCGAAATATCACTATCTGCTGCACATCGAGCATGATCTCGCACTGTCGAAGTGCCACACCTGGGGCTTCAATCCTGCGTGTTTCGCAACGCAAATGGATGAAGACTATATGGGGGTCTCTTCTCGAATGAGTCGTTGTGCTCACCCTCTGGGAGCTGCAAAGCGCACGGCTCAGAGATGGCTCATATATTCTTGGCTCCAGTGGAAGCCTTGGAGATTTCATCTCTGATCAGCTGCTCGAGCGCTCACAGAGAAAACATAAGGGGGCCGAGTGCTTGCAGTCTTCTGCAGTCTCTGTCTGCACAGTGTCAGTCTTTGTAGGTTCGGTCTGTGCAGTGTCCGTCTTTGAAGCCATTCTCTTTCTATGGTGTGCAGGCCCCAACCCCAAGGGTTTCCCTACCCAATGGCAGCAGTGCTGAGCTATCTGTATATCTATATATAAGATATAGGCATATATATATATATATATATATATATATATATATATAATTATATATATACATATATATATATATATATATATATATAGATATGCCTTCATATACATACACATATAAATATATATGTGTACATGCATGCACTGATGGTGCTGTTTCGATATGGCAGGACCACTTCAACAGTGTTGTTGATTGCACACATGCTCATTACCGATACAAAACACCATGTAAGCTGTGTTTTCTGCTAATGTGCATGATATAAAGCTCGATTCCTGCAATTTCTCAGTTTTGAACCAAAGAGGCCACAAAATGAAAAAACCAAAAAAACTAAGAAACCAAAACATTCTGGTTTCTAGATATAAACCAAAATAAACCCATACAAACCAATGTCTAGGTAGGTTTTATAGAGTATGTTGCAGTTTTTGGAAAAGAATCCTCCAAAAAGGGTCTTGGGCCTTTTGGGGGAGAGTTTCGGCTTTGGGGGCCAGCGTTTGGGACCTCACTCCAAGGGTCCAGGAGCCATAGGGTAAACCTTAAAGCCTAAACTGTTGGGATTGTCAGGCCTGCAGTTTGAGGATTGAGGGTTTCGAGTCTTGTCCCGTCTACCCTGAGGCTCTAAGGACATACCAACATAGATAGTAATTTGTGGCTTTGGGCATATAATTTAGGTGTTGCAAAAACCCTCAACGCTAAACCTTAAGCCCTAAATACCTTCAATGTTTTGCAGCCAGGCATCGTTTCGGAAACGTTGTGGGTAGAGTTCATGCACCTGGGACGGGATGGCCAAAGCGTACACGGACATGATGATTATGGTTTATACTCTTATTGTTGTCTTTGTCTGCACTCTTAAGACCAAAACTATGATTATCGCGATGGCCAGCTATCACGCTAATTCTTACCATTCTTCTTTTGCAATGATATTATTAATACTCATATTGCTACTATTCTTTCTACTGTTAGTGTGTTCAATATTGTTGTTTTCGTTGTGTTCATGATTTTTCGTTCTGTGAGACCTCCAGGCAGTCTGCAGGGTGCAGGACCGAAACCTCGAGCCCTTTGGTTTTAGGGCTGAGGGCTAGGGTTTAGAATCTCCAGGCTGTAGGGTTTGGTAAGCTTCAAGGTTTCTAGGCTAAAAGCCTAGGGTTGAGGGGGGGACGGTTGGGGCTTGTGAGAAGAACAAGACTCACAAAGAGAATCAGCAACCACAAACCAACAATAGTGGCATAAAAGAGCTTCAGCGATTAACAGCAACTCATACTGCACACCGGCTAAAGCATCCAGCTAGTTACGTTTGTAATGGAACGAGTCATTCAGCAAACAGTCCAGCAAGCAAGCAAGCAACCAATCAAGAAAGATAAGTGAACCTAAGCGAGCATTCAAGCGAGCGCTTACGTCCGTCGGTTAGTCGGACAGTCAGGCAGTAGGTCAGAAAGCGAATATTGGCATGGCAACAACGGTAATAGCCATCATAAACGCGATGCCTAAGTCCTCGTGGCCGCGATCGGAAAATTGGTCGTTGGAGCTTCGCAACGACAACAAAAGCGACCATCTAAATTTAGAAACGGTCATAGTGAAGCTAGCGGTGCACTCAGGACGAGGATATTGTCGTAGCACTTGGGTGATCATGGGACTTAGTAAGCAAAGATACAAGTTCGGAAGTTGCATGGGGTTATAAACAGTATAACTAGTTACCTCGTTTTCCCACATTTTTTATAACCCCAGCTACTAAGTCTCAATGGCCAAAGAAAGTACACGGTGGAAGTAGGGCCGCCGAGAAACGGGAAGGCAGGTGTGATCACGGGCATGATGTGAAGACGATCTTGCGGATACACCTGCCAGGGTTTAGGGTTCAGGGTTCAAGCGTTCGAAAGGAACAGATTCTTCTAAGGTTTAGTTTGAATTTAGGGCTTCGGGTTTCGGGTTTAGGGTTGTGCTTGTCCAAGGTAGCCTCTCCTCCGGGGTTCCCAAGCTATAGGGTGTCGTATGAAGAGAGGAATTAGATAGGGTTCCCCAGAAAGACCATGAGTCTGACGCTGACCCACCTGGAAGGTTTCGAACTCGAGCCCATACTTTACCCTACGGCTCCAAACAGGGTCTTGGGCCTTGTGCGGGAAAGTTTCGGCTTTGGGGGCCAGGGTTTGGGACCTCACTCCAAGGGTCCAGGAGCCTTAGGGTGGGGTTTTTGATGGTTCTAAGTTGAAACAAAAGCCTACAGCAAAGAAGCGAGAGCTGAAGCTCCTGTGCTCCGCTCCTTCTCACCTCCCTAAGGGTCCAAGTAATTCCTATTTACGGTTTTTGGTACCTAAAAAGGCCCTAAAGTCCTGTAATAGGGAGTACTTGGACCCTCTGGGCCTACTTTCTCACCTAACGCTTCGCGCTTAGGTTTTGGGGATTTAGATGGCTTTATGAGAGTGGGCTTGAGATTCGGGTTCTAGGGTTTTACGTACCTAGACCCCCCGGGAGGATCTACAAAGTATATCCCCTAATTTGGGACCCTATACCTACTAAGAGTACTTTATAGGAACTCTCATTAAGGGATCTACTTTTTGGATCCTCCCGGGGTCTGGGCATAGGGAAAAAAGGCTGAGGATTCAACATCCCGGAAGTTCAGAGTGTATGGGTTTAGCGTTTACAGCTGACTTTCCCTAATTGGGTCCAAGGTAGCAGTCCTCATTCATGGGGCTTTGGTAATAAGAGTACACTCCAAAAGTTGGAAACCGGACTAAGGCCAAATAGTGCTGAGATTCCCTCTACATTACTCGTATAAGGCTTGAAGCTATTGGGTTTCCAACTTTTGGGCTTCTGCTGTATGGAGTCTTGAATGTAATTGAGATTCGTGGTTCGCTTTTCAAGGCTTGGGGATGTTCAGGTTCCTCAGAATCTTAGTTCCGAGGGCTCTGCACACAAGCAGCTCCCACTTTAACTTTGGCAACCTCCGAATTAAAAATGTAATTGAACCCTCAAATTCTTAGCTTCTTTAATGCCTACTTGTCGGGTACCATGGGGAATCAAATGTTACTATACTGCCCACAAAAAGGTTAAAGGTTGCCTACTCTACTAATTACCAGGAATGGCTGTGGTACCTGGTTCAATGCTCGGCTAAGAATGTGCTAAGAATCTGAGCCCCCTGGTGGCTGCTGGAGGCCGGAAATGCGACTGTCTCAGAAACATGCAAAGTTAAGAATCTGAGCCCACCTGGACTGATCCCGGCAATTTCTTAACCAACGCTTGGACTGTATACCAACTCGTACTTTTTTCTGTAGGGTTGTACGAACTCAATATTGTGGTTTGTAGTTCAATACGCAATACGCTATGGTAGTATGAAGCAAGCCTTTACACCCTAAACCACGAACCAGCAAATACCACCTGAAGGAAGCAGCTCTGACACACAAGCTCTTAAACGAAACTAACACAACAACACGGTACAGCCACCTCAGCTCAGCCCTAAACCCCTGAAACCCTATACCCTGAACCCCTAAACCCCCTGAACTCCTGAACCCTAAAGCCCCTAAACTCCTAAATTCTAACCCCCCAAAACACCAAAAGAACAACACAAAAAAAACAAAAACCCAAACCCCGCGCGGAGGCCTTGGGATTCCAGATCTTGAAGGCCATCAAACCCGGTTCCGACCTGGCCAGCCCTACTTGGATGTAGGGTTTAGGGGTGTTGGGGTTTAGGGTTTATAGGGGTTTAGGGGTTTAAGGTTTGGGGGTTAATGTTGGATACCGATTAACAAACCCCCCCCCCCCCCCCCCCCCCCCCCCCCCCAAGGTTGGCCCGCTTGAACTTGTTCATGGGTTCAAGTTTTTACCGGCCCCCCCCCGATTAAGTAGTAGTACAGTAGTACAGTGGTACAGTAGTACAGTAGTACAGTAGTACAGTAGTACAGTAGTACAGTAGTACAGTAGTACAGTAGTACAGTAGTAGTATAGTAGTATTACAGTAGTATAATAGTAGAACAGTAGTTTAGTAGTAGTAATGGGCAGGAACATTGCCCCTAAGTACAAGCTTAGCTCTGCTGGACATGAGCTGGTCCAATGAGGAAAAGTCTGCCATCATGAGTTCTTTACGGTTTAGGCTTCAGGGTTTGGGGGTTAGGGTTAAGTCATAAGCCTCTAAATCCCCTAAATCCTTATTTCGGGGATTTTCGGGGATGGCCCCGTCTAATCGGGGGGGGTTTAAATGAGCTCCGGTACTATAGGGGTGGGGTCTAATGGACCTCTTCATTAAGCCCATGACATGCCCGGGACCGCCCCGTCTAATCTGGGGGGGTATCTTAATCGGTAAACGACATTAGGGGTTTAGGGTTTAGGGGTTTGGGGTTCAGGGTTTAGAGGAGTCTGGGACTTAGTAACTAGGGCTCCTTAAAGGGTCTCCTTAAACGGGGGTTTTAGGGTCTACTTAAAGGATTTAAAGGATCATGGGACTTAGTAGCTAGGCTTATAATTAGGGGTAACTATACTTATTACTACTTATAACCCCAAGTAAGGTACTTATAGCCATACTTACTAAGCCCCCTCTGATCCTCCAAGTACTTGGAGGAGTCTGGTGGACCCAAAAAGGTCCAAAGTACCTCTTAGTAGAATATATATATACATATATATATATATATAGGTACCCTAAAGCCCTGAGTATAGACCCTAAGTCAAAGGCTCCAAAGTACCTCTTAGTAGAATGTAGGGTTTCTATATTAGGAATTACTATTCTGATTTGGGTAAGTATTCCCCATAACAATACCTAGGACCCTCTGGTGCGGTTTCTCCACGAGTAGTATATTATGGAAGTTCTATG